ACCGGTCTTCACTTCGAACGACTTTGTCAACTGTCCTCCATGCACAATTTTGCAGTGTAATCCATCATATGAATTCTGTATGATATTGACTATCTTCTGAGGCACGCCGTAGTGTCGAAGAAGTTTCCATAGTGTTGTTCTGTCCACGCTATCAAATGCCTTTTCGTAGTCAATGAAGTTGATGTAGAGTGATGAATTCCATTCAATTGATTGTTCCACAATGATCCGTAGAGTTGCGATTTGGTCTGTACACGATCTATCCTTACGGAATCCTGCCTGTTGGTCACGAAGTTGGGCGTCTACGCAGTCCTTCATCCTGTTTAACAATACCCTGTTGAAGACTTTTCCCGGTATTGAGAGAAGAGTGATGCCCCTGTAGTTATCACACTTGCTGAGATCGCCTTTCTTCGGTATTTTGATCAGAAGTCCTTCTTTCCAGTCTTTTGGTACTTGTTCCTCATCCCAAATCTTATTGAAGAGAATGTGGAGTATCCTTGCAGTTGCCGCTACGTCTGCTTTTAGTGCCTCTGCTGGATGTTGTCCGGTCCTGCTGCTTTGCCACTCTTGATTTGTCTGATGGCCATGCTGATTTCTTCAATTGTTGGTGGGCCAACATTGATTGGGAGGTCCGTGGGTGCTGCTTCGATGTTGGGTGGGTTCAGTGGAGCTGGTCGATTCAAGAGTTCTTTGAAGTGTTCTACCCACCTGTTTTGTTGCTCTTCAATGTTGGTGATTACCTCGCCTTCCTTGCTTTTCACTGGTCGTTCTGGTTTGCGGCGATTTCCAGAGAGTTTCTTTGTCGTGTCATACAATTGTCTCATGTTTCCTTCTCTTGCAGCCTTTTCCGCCGTCGTTGCTAAATCTTCCACATATTTACGTTTGTCGGTTCTGATGCTCCTCTTCACTTGTTTGTTTACTTCTGTGTATTCAGCTTGTGCCTTGGCTTTTTCTGCTCTTGTTCGACTGGTATTGATTGCTGCCTTCTTGTTCCTTCTTTCTTGAATCTTATCCAGTGTATCAACAGTGATCCATTCCTTGTGATGGTGCTTCTTGTGACCCAGGACCTCATGACATGTTGAAGTGATTGCCTCTTTGATCCCCTTCCAGTTGCTCTCCACAGTAGTTCCTTCTCCATTGAGTAGATCATGAAAGGCCTGGAACTTGTTGCTGAGGACTATCTTGAATTTGTTGAGTTTGTTAGTATCCTGAAGAAAGGCCGTATTGAACTTTTGTGATATTGTCCGCCCCGTTGTCCAGTGCTTCTTGAGTTTCAATTTCATCTTGGCGACCAGCAAGTGATGATCTGATGCTATATCAGCTCCTCTCTTGGTTCTCACGTCCTCTATAGTCCTCCTGAACGTTTTGTTGATGCAAATATGGTCGATTTGGTTTTGTGTATAGTGATCCGGTGAAGTCCATGTGGTTTTGTGTATGCGTTTATGTGGGAATATGGTGCCGCCTATGACCAGCTTATTGAAGGCACATAGATTTGCAAATCTCTCACCATTTTCGTTTCTTTCTCCCAGTCCGTGTCGTCCCATGATGTCTTCATATCCAGTGTTGTCCGTTCCAACCTTGGCGTTGAAATCTCCCATCAGAATAGTCAGGTCCTTTGTTGGGCACTTCTCGACGATTGACTGCAGCCTATTGTAGAATTGATCTTTAGCGTCTTCATTGTAGTCGTTGGTAGGCGCATAGCATTGGATGATGTTCATTGAAATACCCTCTTTCTTTGTTTTGAACGAGGCTTTGATGATCCTTGGTCCATGAGATTCCCATCCTATAAGTGCATTTTGCGCTTGTTTGGACAGCATCAATGCAACTCCTTGTGTATGTGGTGCATTTTCTTCTTCATGGCCGGAGTATAACAGGAGCTCTCCTGTAGTTAGTCGTTGTTGTCCAACTTGTGTCCAATGTGTTTCACTGATCCCAAGTACCTCTAGGTTGTATCTTCTCATTTCTGCAGCAATTTGGAAGGCTCTCCCGGTGTCCCACATTGTACGAACATTCCATGTACCTAAATAAATGGTCGCTCTGGTTGTCAGAAGGGGCATCGGCCTCGTAACTTCCGAAGGAATTCGGCTTTCATCATGAGGCGTCATAATTCTTCTAAATGAAGACCTTCTGACTCCCAGGGCAGAGTTTAAAAGGTTTGAATAATTTTTTCTGGTTAGCGTTTTTTTAGCGAGTTAGTTTTCTACGGGATGGGGACGCTAACCCCATGCCCAACCCTCCTCCTTTATCCGGGCTTGGGACCGGCAGTAGCCCCCGGAGGGACTCCAGGTGGAGTTGGTCTGTCACCTTACTTACGATAAAATAGTGAGTAGCATTTGAATTTCGAATATATATATATAATGTATTGTTATTCACTTACTATCCAGAATAATAATATCTAAATAACTTAGCTGGCTTAATTGACAAAAACAATTAGTCTCTTTGATAAATTTCGATAATGCAATGAGAGAACGAAGGTTATCAGAATTATGTGATATATTTGCGAAATACCTTTCAAACGATCTGATCACACATATACTTGTCAAGACATTTTTATATGAAAAATAAAAGGTCAACTGGACAGGTCAAAGGTAAGCCGTAACAAAGAAAAATAAAGTACAGAAGACCAATGTGATAACCGCTTCGGATAATAAATCAGTATTACCAGGGTAGGTTAAGGGTAAGAACAAATTGCTTGTGAACACATAAACGGGTTTTCAGTTTCCGTATAGCCAAGGCTTCAATAAACCTTAGTATACGTCCGTGAAGGCTTTTGTACAAAACTACAAAGGCTGACTTGATATCAACCTTATGACCAATTTCAACCAAATATTTAGCAATGAAGGAAGATATCTGTTTATCCTGTAGTCTTATTTGACCATGGAATTCATTTGTTTCTGTAGCTATTTGGGTATGTGTTCTACCACCTTTAATTGTAGATCACGATTGCTCCTCTCTATGTATGTGCTTCCACATATACATGTTGATTAAAACGCATTGAGGGATGCTGGTTATTTCCGTTATTCAATGATGTTTAGTCCAACAACTTTAAGAGAAACAATATACATGAAAAATTTCTACTTTTTATTACTTACCTTACAATATCATACCAGAAATGTATCACATGAAATGAATTCAATTTTATTGTTGCTTAAAGTACAATAATAAATGATGAAACTCTAGAACATGGAAATAAATGTGCATATTTAACTTAAAACTTTTTTTAGAATATTATTGATTATAGATGGTTAGCATGAAGGAAGATGAAAATTAATCACACTATTTTTTCATTTAAGTAAATTCAGCTCAAAACTTGATACATTTCAGAACCTATATTCATTGCATAATTAGAAGCCATAGCTATTTATAGGAAAATTTTGTTAAGTTCTTCTCTTTATCACCGCCACCTTCCTAGAAAAAGATTTCGCTTTTACGTTTATGAGAATGATATTTCGCTTAGTTCATCATACAATCAAACATGTTCCTACTTATCATTCTTAATTATAATTTACATTACATGTCTATAACTACTTAGTTCCGAAACAAGTAGTAAGTCTTCAGATCATTTATCATTTTTACAAATTTACAGTTTGTTTATAAACTTACAACTTAATGCATCTTTAAATATGATTGTATAGCCTTGGAAATTGAGTTGATAATTGAACTGTCTTAATTTTATAAATTGTTTTCTATTTAATACATAAATTTCTGCTTTCTTTGAAAACAAAATCTAGAACATTCAATAGCATTATTTCATAAAATTCAGTGTGAATAGATGCACAAGAAAACTATGCGAATCCCTGAAATATCTGTTCCTTTCTGACATAGATATTTTAAATGAATCTATCTTTTTAAGTTTATTCTGATCACCTAAAATATAGCAGTCAGTTTTCCAGTAAATTGTTTCCGGGTGAGTTCCCGAAGTTTTAGTTCGAAGTTATGATTGGTGGAATTCAAGCAACAGAAAAAAAACACCATCAATCGCGTTGAGTGGTCGGTACTCCATATTCAAAATTAAAGTTATAAACGTGCAGTGCTCAGTTGACACTTGATGGTTCTAGTAAATAAGAACTTAGTGAGAAAGGTCCTGGTGTGATCGTAAGTGTACAATTCTGAGGATTTCCAAACTAGGACGAAACATCATTGAGCTGTTTCTTGGCTTAAATGGTACCCAAATTAAGATCAATCCATGATGAATACCTTGTAAGTATATATATTTTCTGTAGAATTTTTTTTTGTTTTTCATGTTTTAGTAATCAGTCCCTAAAACATCCTAATGCATTTATGATAACATTCAAGGATTTTTAAGATACGTATACCAAAACAATTGACAAATCCACAAATTTGATATTTTATTTATCTTCTCTCATCCGCAATATAGCTCACTTTTGAGAACTGATAGGATGCGGCAAAGTAAGCCTGTAAGTGACGATAACGACTAAAGACAACAATTTGATAAATTAGATATTTTTTATATTCCGTATAATCTGATAGTAGGGAAAGGAATGAAAAGTTTAGATGTGGCTTATTAACTACTTAATAGTAATTAATGCTCTTTAAAAGTAAATTACTTTACTCGTTCCACATATTCACAAACAAATTATGTTAAAAATGAAGGTACATAGGTATACTGCATTATATTTTCTTTTTTTCTATAAGAAACAAGAAGAAGACAATACTGATGCAATAATCAATTTTTTTAAAATAAAAAGACAAAATATAGTGATGGAAACAGCAATGATGTCTACCTATTTATCAACGCTAGTGTATAGTTTTAGTGCATTACTTATAATAAGGATAGAATACATTCTATTATGAAAATGATATCTATACTAAACAATAAGCATCATAAATAATAATATTAAAAATGTGTATAAATCCACTGATAACAGTTGGAAAAGAAAAAGTTCAAGCTTCAATTTGAAAGAAGGGTTGAAATTATTATTGGTATTATTACTATTATTATGGGCACCAAGGAAGGGACTTATACATTTTGAACTGCTGGAAAATAAAGGAATATAAGACATACACAATGCATAGTGATTGAATTATGATTATTATTACAACTATCTATTTAGATAATATGCATACTGATGAGTTTTCTGAATTAATTTATGAGGTAGACACTTGCCGCCTCCTTTCAACTGGAAAGATTGGTATTTCATTTATCATGATAATGAATTTCTAAGTTAGTCTTATGTAAGTGATCTAAATTACGAAATGACTCAGTAGACGATAATGACGCAGACGGTGATTCATTACGTGTTGTTATTTCACTACTAGTAATTGTAATAGTAGTAGTAGGAATATTGTCATTGACGTCGTTATTTTGCGAATCGATAGAACTACGGTTATTATAAGGAATAGCAAGAAGTTTATCATTATTATTAATACTATTTTTACTATCTGTAATACTGACTACATCCATGCTTGGTTTACATATATTGTCAGACTGAACATGTTTAATAGTAACTGATTGTTTAAATTTTGGCGACGTTAAAACGCGTATATTTGAAGAAAATATTAATGATCCATTCGATTTGCTACAAATTTGACCATTGCTATTATCATTATTATTATTATCATTATTGTTATTATTATTATTACTATTATTACTAGTCGAGTCTATGTTATGATCACAACCATTTGTTGTTTCGAAACTATTCATCGAAGTATAATTAGATGAATTGAAAAATCTATCTTCTGAAGATATTAACTTGTTTGTATATAAATAAGTATTCCCAGTGAAATTACGATTCTTATTTGACAAAGAGACAATTGGAGAGGCAGATCTTGTTTGTGATAATAATACAGAATTATTCGGTTTATCTTTTATTGAATATTCTTTTGAATTTTTGAAGTTCTTATTATCAATAGAAGAATTGAGATGTGATGATTCACTAAAAGCTGATTGGAAATTTTTAATAGTTGTGACCAGATGATCTGATAAACGATTTGGAAAATAGGGAAGATTATCGTCAGAAAATGCACGATTTAATAAGAGTTGATGCGAACCGCGAAGCAAACGATTACGGTATCTGTAATTTTTTTCAAAAGAAAAAGAAAGGAACATTTACCACTGAAATTTGTTGAAAATAAATCATTAAATAATTTAGTTGTTGAGTAGAAATAAATCATCACTTTCTTCTAATCCATATTGATTAAGGTGACTACCTACAGAATATCTAAGTCTAAACCTATGTAACTGAAGAGTTTTACTACAATATTTAGAGAATAATCTAATCGAGAAAATAGAACATACAATCTACATGTGGATGTTCTACTGAATAGTAAATATTAATAAAAATGTAGCCATAAAAACTAATGAATGAGAGTTTAAACATGTCGAGATTTGTATTAACAGACTGTTAACTGGTTACAAAAGTTAACAACTTATGATGTAACATTACTGAAAGTTTTATCCTTGTAACAACAAAAATGTCCCTAATTCAAATCTATCGTACTTCGTAATAGTGTGAATAATATAAACCATAAATTTACAGCTGTCATTAAAACTATTTTTCTGAAATAATTATTATTTATGCTAGTCATAATAAAAATGTTCCAGCAATAAGTTCTATAAGCATCATGTTTACTGTACTAGTAATCTAAGGGTTGTTCATGACAATACGAAGTCATGGGCTTACACTAATAATTATTCCCCATACTAAAACAAGAGATAACTAACTACTTCATTCAGTTGTATCTGAAATGATATCATAGTTTATGACTTAAACTATCACTTAGAACTGCTTGACTGCTGAGTAGTGACCAATGCAATATTTGTCTAGTTTGTTAGTTTGGGTCGAGTTCCATCGACCAAGTTGAGATATGGGCATCAATCTGAGTCAATATCCTGTATACGATGTTGAAATATCACGTGGTTGGAGGTGACAATAAGAAATCTTAAATTAATTCTTGTGCTAATCGCCACACCACAGTAAGGTGTATATGCAATCTTGACAAAACTGATACTCACAACAGAATTCAAACTTGAGTTATCCGGTTTCACAATTTGTGACATTACTATTTAGCTGTTAGGGTTGCATGTATGCAACAATAACTTACGCTTATAATATACTATTTAAAAAAAACCCAATTAATTTGGCCTATATCATTCAAACGAATTGGGTGTGACTATTAAGTATACTGGTTATAAAGAAAAGATTCTACTTTCTTAAAAGATAAAGAAAAGGAATATATCAAACTAGAAAATGATAAAATACAATGATATTAGATCAATTAATTTAAAAATGTTAGTCTTTTTGTTTATTATGATTTAGAAGGGAAAAAGAAATTGCCTTTTCGACCTTTGAATTAAACAAACAAACAAACAAAACAATGCGATCCCTATTTGGTTTGTACTATAGGATATATCAGTTATTACTTTCAGCTATCCTAATTAAAATTCAATGTAAAATAATATCGTTATTACGTTTTCTTTAAGAATGATGAACTACAGGAGCTCGACATTGTTTGCACACATAAAACTAAAGACATTCATTATTATCGTTATTATTATCATCATAAATATTACTAGCACCGTTGAATCGTTAACGATTCGTCAAATTCATATTCAGTGGTTGTGTTGCCTAAGCTGATGAATAATCAGTAATAACATAATACAGCTTAGAACTAGACATTAATAACGATTATTTTTATCAAAAATTGATCCATTCACTTAAAACACTGATGAAAGCAAGGAAACCTTGAGTAACTGTTCCGTTTCACTTTGTGTTTTGTCAGGAATATGGCCAAAAGCATATTAAAACATCTAAATCATGTAATCCTGGTCAAGTTGAAAGCACTAAATTATTAGACTACTGAGTCCTTGGCCTTGGTATCATAAGAATCGGCGTACTTGTACGCCGTCACAAGCTCAAACCACGCTTCGATTACTTCGGTTTGGAAAGTTGAATAATTTCAGTAGCGATCTCATGAATGGTAAACCTTAAAAACCTGTATAAATCTATGTAAATGATTAGGGTAGGCAGTTGAAGGAAATTATTCACTCCCAATTTGATATCAACCAGAGAATCTCTGAATTCTGGTTCCTATTTGAGAATGGAAACTAATAATTAAATGATCTGTAAATAGATTCAATTTAACCGGTTGGCGGTTTTAGAGAGAATGATTAACTGATTTCTTATTGGTTGAAAGCTGGCATGATGCCATTTAATGTTGAAATGCCTAATAAACGTGATATTAACCAATCAGAACCCAAGATGGACCTAAACTTCGAAATGTGAGCTACCGTTTAACTGATAGGTTTACATTTATATGAAAATAAAAGTGAACATGATCGTTATCGAATAAAAGTAAATTATACCTTATCGATATCAAAGTAACATTGTATATGTATATATATGTATTTACTTTCGAAAAATGACTATACGCAAATCAATGTAAAAATCTTACAATTAATAATAATAGCAATCACACACCAATAACAAACATAATACGATTAATATGTTAAAGAAATAAAATGTGAATCATGCTACAAATCATATGTATGCACATTATCAGTGTGATGAGTTAATATATGCAAAATGGTTTAGATAAACAAATAACATTGGAAAAGCAACAGGATTACCTTGTTCAAATTGATTAGAGTAAATTCTTGAGATATGTATACATATATGGTTGATAAAAGTTAGAAAACAAAAAAAGAGGAATGCTGAATGTGCAATTGACAGTTCGCAATTATAGATATGTTTGAAAAATCATTAGGTGAGAGACAAACAGATTCGTTGTGGGATTAACATTAGACTATTGTCAGTAGTAGCGATAGTAGTAGTAGTATTGCTCGTTAACGCGAAAGTTTTTTATTTACAAATGATTAACTAATATTGTTATTTTTATTATTAATACTATCCCTATAAAGCAAATTTGTTCCAATCGTTATGTTTGTTTTAATCATAATTATTATTGTTATTATGACTACTGTCATCATTTAATATCATGACCTTGAACATCATCATCATCATTTTCTGAACAGGCAGAGCATTCCGCTGATGATCTAGAGCAATATAAACTGAAAAAAAAACAGGAATCGAAGAAAAACAAAAATAACAAGCATATTTCAGTGATGAGTTAGGATGACGCATATGAAGTGTTAATAAATAAAAACAAAACGTGAATATAAATAAATGAACGAACGAATGAAGCTTAAGTGTTATATAATAATAAAAAATCCATTAATAAAATAAATTCCACACTCCTCATAATCTAAGAGTATGAGATTAAATAACAATTAAATGGTAAATTTTCATTACGACGGTGATTAAATATCTATCAAATTGTATAATTTAAACGTTTTGAGTTTGAATTTGTATTTGTACTTTAATAAAAAGGAGTTCAATCTTAGGAAAAGATAGATGTTCAGTATTTCCCAGTATTCAATATCTTTAAAGTTATGGTTATCAGTGTATATTTACGTTGAAAATATTTTCATACACCATGATTATTGACCGAAGATGTTGGATTGTCAGATTAAATAGCACGAACGCAACCATTATTTGTCTTTCCTTAGATCTCGAGTTCTTAACTGATCACACACTTTTTGTTCTGCGGAATCATTATTTCTTCTGGGATTATATCTTCGATACCTAATCTTTTCTGTTGACACCGGTTGTTACTAATTTGACTACCATGAAATTTCTACCGATGATCTCGTCCCACTGTGCTGACATAGTGTGGCAATTCGAATTGGTGCACATAAGTGTCAGATTCTACTTTATCTATGACTGATACCATCTACTTTATTTGTTAGTTTGGCTGTTTTAGTACTCTTGATGTGATAAATAATGAACAATCCAATAGTAACGTTTCAGTATGTAAATCTGGGTAACCTAAGTTATAAGTTATAAATAGGACATAAGTTTTCTCAAGATTTTCCATACACTTTGCTAACGAGTGTGAACTAGAAATAAACCTAGGTCCCAGATTTGTAACGTTTACCTTCAACAATTTAACATCTGTATAGCAGTCATAGCTGATAATCACAGTCTGCTTCTTGTATGTTGTTTCTTTCAGACATTCAACATTTCACATATTCAGAGTTATAATAATTTACACTGCAGTTATTTGTTAATTACATAATTTAATAACAATGATTTGAATTCATTCTACAATCAAACAAATCAAATTATTAAGCAAACTTTAATTTACTTAGCACTTAAGCAACTTTCAGTTCAATACAATCGATATTACTAGTACCAATAACAAAAAAACACAAGAAATAACGAACAGAAATTATTGCGAAATAAAAAGAGTTTAATGTTAGAACATTTGTCACCGAAACTGAAAGCCAACAAAACAACTCACTACAACAACAATACTTAGTGTAACCAGTTAGAAAATGTTAATTTCTCACAGATAACAGAAACAAACAAAATTAAATATCAAAAAAAAAATTAGTAGAACAATTTAACATAGAACTGACGAAGTATAGTTGAAGTTGAACAAATTCAGTAGATAGATTATATATTTCTTGACAGAAATAAACAGGACATGTATGAATGTATGAAATTATCGTAACAAGATAGATGTGAAAAACTGAAAAGGTTTACAAAAGTCGAAATCTCTTTATTCTATATTGTTATCATTCATAAACGCTTTAAACCCCATTCCAGGTTATGTTTATTTATTTAGTATGTTTATTATGAAAGAGCATAAAAACTAAATTGGTGTACACAATGTTCTACATTTTATATGCTAGTATTGTTTACCTGTTTTCATAACTAGAATAACTGCATTAATTTCTTTGTATGTCCCCTTTGATCTGTTTACATTTTCTCATAATCTTGAGCAAATAAGTAATCGGTATGGTACTTTTTATTCTGTTCGAAAACTGATATATATAATTGACTTTGAATACTCAGTTCATATGAAAACGATAATGGATGTTTAGCAAAATAAATATACAATTAATGAAAACAGTTAAATAAATTCACCTCTTGTAAATTCTAAGGTGGCGTAATTCAGATAATTCATTTACGAATTTGAGAAAAAAGACACATGATTAAATAGGAAACATTAAAAATTTGTTGACTGAGATCATAAACCAATTGATATTAGACCACCATTGAAAATCTGGAAGCACTGGACGGCCGTTTCGTCCTATTGTGGGACTCCTCAGCAGTGCGCACCCACGATTTTAGGGATTCCAACCCTGGGCATCCAGTCTCGCGCGCGAATGCTTAACCTACAGGACCATTGAGCCGGCATCCAATGGTGTTAATGTCTAACCCCGATCAATCCACGAAGTTGCGCAACCATCTTCCGTTGTACTAAGGTAGACGCCTGTCTCTATCCGAAACGGATTAGCTCCACTGGTCACGGCTTCTCACTAGAACTCCGAGAATTCCCTCACGATGCTAGTCATTAGTGAGCATATGTTAATTATCAGTTTAGGGGTTGTGAAGATTGTTAAGTTTTTGATTGAGATCATGATCGTGAATGCGCACTACTGAGGAGTTCCACAATAAGACGAAACGGCCGTCCAGTGCTTGCGGGTTTTCAATGGTGGTCTAACATCAATCGGTTCATGATCTCAATCAAAAACTTAATAATCTCCACAACCCCTAAACTGATAATTAAAAACTTCATCATTTTATTCTCATAAGATTAAACCAACACTTACTTTGGATTTGGACGTAGCAGAAAATCTTGTGATCCTTTTGTAAATTTATTTAAAATAAGATCTTCACCTGATGAATTACAATTTAAAAGATCTTCATAATCTGATTCACTTTGTTTCGATTTAATTAATGCTTCTAAATCTTGTGTACGTCTCAATAAAGCATTCATTTCAGCACGTGAACATAATGCTTCATGCATTGCTTTGTTAGCATCCATTTGTGCTTCCTCAGCTCGTCGTTGAGCTGTTGTAGCACGTCTAGTTGCTTCGTTTTCATCTTGTTGTGCTTCACGTAGTTGTCTAGATAATTTACGATTTTGTTCACGTTCATTAGCTTCAATAATTATTAGTTTATCACGTTCATTTGTCAACTGATCGATTGTTTCTTTGGCACGATCAAGTGAATATTGAATACGTACTCGATTACTAGTTTCAATATCTAAACGTTGTTCTAATTCACGAATTTTCGCTTCTAAACGTTCTAGCTCACTACGAGGAACCTAATAATTGGGGAGAAATGAAACAATGAAACACTCATTAGTTCAAGCTAAAAAGATAAAATTATTAAGCCTACTAATTCATTTTCATTTTTAAATGTATTATGATAAATTTACATCTGAAAGGTTGGAATAACTACTCAGTAGACAGATCCAATCGAAATCCTTTCGAATACTATTGATTCTAAAACCGCCCATGTTGAGCAGAACTATTTGCGGTAAAATAATAGTAATAATAATTTTACATTACATATTATAATTACAGTCAACAAATGTATCGCTCAACAAAAGGTTACAAAATCTCTTCATTGAGGATTTTAGTATCGGTTATGTAAGCAAGTTATGAGCTTCTCAACATCAAAAAAAATATATGCGTCAACATAAAAGCTTACAACAGTATATCTGAATATAATAGATAAAAAAATTTGTGTACACCATCCCTTATAACACGTTAACAATATCAAAAACAATGATAACAACTAAGAATATGACCAACTTGATCGATATTATTAGTATTCAATTTCAATTTCAACTCGTCTATTTGTGTTTGCATTTTTTTCCGCTCGATTAAAAATTCATCAATTTCTTGTATCTGCGCTTGAATTGTAGCCTCTTTTATTGTTAAACTAGCTGTTGCATTTTGTAATTTATCACGTGTTTCTTTATGAGCTTCTTCTTGATCAGTAAATTGATTTTGTAAATCTAAAAATTGACGTTTCGACCGAGACAAATCTTCTTCAAACTAGTGAAACAGAGAAATAAATCAAATGAACAGTGAATTAAAAAAACTGGATTTAACCAGTGTTCAATATTCAAGTGTGGTAGGCATTAAAATTGTTTTCGTTCTTCTTCTTCTTATTATTCTTTGTAGATCAAATTAATTATTTCTACAACAGAGAGAAATGAATTCTTCGAGATAACTTTAAATAACCAATAGCATGGAACTAATCTGGTATGAAACTATCAACCAACAACTATTCAATTAATCTATTAAAGAGAATCTGTAGGCTATGAGACTGAAATCCATCTACTTGCAATGTAAGGAATCGGTGACTCAGAAGAATCATACAGAGAAAGATTCAAAATTGATAACATTTCTTAAAACCTTGAGATAATATAAAATGTTCATTATATATACATATCCTTTTTTTCTACATTTTTACACTCCCCAATCGGTTTATTTCACTGCGTTTCCACATATATTTGGTAATTTTATAGGGTTTTTATGCTTCAAAAAGGCGTATAAATCACAATGTAGTAGTTTTCTTTATTTTTGTGAAAGTTGATGAATTTAGATTTGATTTATAAAATATTTTATAATTCCGTAAATTAGTATGACATGTTGATTGGAACTGTTATGTTTTATGATTTACATTGTAAACTAACCGAGTTAAGAAATCATTAAAAGTTGGGAAGCACTGGACAGCTTCTTAGTTATTATATGGGATTCATCAACAGTGTACATTCAATAACCTACTGAAGATGGAGCCCAGGATATTCAGATCTCAACGAGCACCGAAACCTTAAACCACTAAGTCGACATCTCATGGTTTACATTTCGAAATTCAATCAGTTCTCGATATTGATCAGTCACCTTCCAATGTCAACAGTAGGTAATCACTTCACACTCGACATGACTGAACTTCACTGACAACGGCTTCTCAATAAAATTTCAAAAAATTAAATGGTCTGATAGCATTACTATGCCGCAGATTGATTGATTACTGAAAAGACGCAAGAACCATTAGATTTTAATTAAAACTTCATATGATTATCTATTGCTCGACATCTAAATTCTACTATTTCATAGCGAAAACATACATTATTAAAATTGAAGCAAATCATCAATTTAAACATATATATGTTTACTTGAATACCTCTTTTTGTGTGCGTAGAGCACTGGCAAGCTGTTGTTGGATCTCATCTAAATCACTCTGCAAAGCACGTTTTTGACGATTCAGTATTTCATTTAATTCGTCCAGTTCATCAACCTAACAAGTTAATGGTTATGATAAATGATTAAGAAATGAACAACAATTAAAACAATAACTGAAGTTCACTCGTTCTTATAATAATAATAATAATAATAATAATAATAATAATAATAAACGTATTATCTAATTACCGCGGAAAACGCGGTAAACTGGATGTCGATATACTGCCTGCTTCAGCTTGCTATTCACATTAGCAAAATAGATCAGATTTTTAGTTGAAAAACTATGTTTATTGAGATATATGTTACGAATACCCGAACACCGACTGCTTCAAAACGTGGTATTAATTGGGGCAGGAGGAGGTTGGAAGAAAACTACGAGCAGTCAAATCGAAACTGACGTCCCCTCATGAAATCACTGACTGCTGGAGTTTACTTCCGTTGGTAAGTTGAAATTATATGGTTAAGGCCCTCATAGTTATCGTAAACAATGGTTGTAAATTGTTAGGGATGCAGAGGAATATACCAATAATTATCATGTTAAGTCCAATGGTGTCCTTGGACTTTAAATGTACATTTCCTATTGGTCGATATTTGTTCACTTGTTAAATATTGTACAAAATGTTTTCTATTTTATGGTACGATGTGGTCTGGTTGGTTGGTTTATAAATAGAGTATGTCTGAAATATAATGGTTCATATATCAGAGGTTGTGACTTGTGTTCTGGACTCAACTGGCTGGACTAGACAGGGGAGCGGGACCAATCAGGACACTAGGTCGTTCTTGCGTGTTTTACGTATCACTAATTCGATCTATAGTACACTGCTCTCTAATCTTTTCAGTCAAGGACGCAACAATTGGCACGGGGTAAAAATCGACCCAAGTTTAAAGCCACAACATAAATGTTGGTTGATATAGCTGAAAATCAGTTTCAATGACATATATCCACTCATCTTTTTTTTCCTTAGATCTTGAATTTTAAATTGATTCTATAACTTTTTTATCCTGTGGATTTATTCTTTTTCCTTAATTAGTATATTCTTTGCTCTGTCATCTTAACTATTACTAATCTTCTTACTACTCTTATGAATCTAGCATTTGTATTGATAATATCCTCACACTGTGCCAAAATAGTGTAGGAAATTGAATTGATTTACCAGATTCTGCATTGTTTATGATAAAATAACTAATTTTATTTTATTATAATTAAATCTAAATGAGCTAAAATATCATTTTTAGTACTTCAAATCATTTAAAAGTCATGATAAATTACTAGTAAATTAAATGATTTAACTTTAATTAGTAGATTAAACAATAATAAAATAATCATATTTATGTTATATCTTAATGAGTAGAAATTTGTATTAATGATGTTTACGACTTACATTAAGTCGAAAAGAAGTTTGTAATGTAAATTTTTACTTACTGGGATATCAAAAAATATGTTTTATCATTATTATTATTATTACCATTAATATTACATTATTATTATATTACTATTATTGTCATATTATTATTACTAACATCCTACACAATGCTCATTTTATTTGAAACTGTCATATTAGACTAAACAGCTGGAATGTTTTCTTTTTCATAAATTGTTTTATTATTCTAATTTAAATAATTAGTCAGTCATTCATCTATAACATAAGACCAGGAACATATATACATTAGATCAACTTAACATATCTTATTAGCACAACAAGATGAAGCAGTTACTTAAATGGTAGTAAACTATATAAATAAAGATTGTATATAAAAGGATACAGGGAGAAAGAATTGGTTCGTAGAAAGGATATAAAGTAAGTTTAATCTCATGGTTTAAGGGAAGACAAATAGTGTATACACCTAGGTCATTGTGGCCAATTCTTAGCCATGTCACCTAGAGTCTCTAACCACTGGTTATTATTATTATTATTATTAAGTATGCACTAATTTGAATTTCTCAGTAATGAATTTTTAAATGATGCATACAGATGTATATTCAATAAAAGTAGAAAAATATTGAAATATCAATGCAGTTAATTGTAAAATGAACTTACCCGATCACGTAGTTTCGTAATTTGACTTTGTGAATCACTAGGATTTGAAGATAATTCAATGATTAATGCTTCTTTTTCAGCTAGTAAACTTTTAACTATTTTCAATTCTTTTCTTAACTTATGTTCTAAAATAATAAGAGAAATTATTAGTAATGATAAATAATATGTTAGATAGTGCATAGCAGCTGAGTATATGAGGAATACCTGATTGTTTATAGGCTTATCAGTGTTGATATTTCTGCTGAAACATCTTTAAGTAGTCTATAAGTACACACTTAACCTCCAATGTTAAAAGCGGGAAGCATAACAGCATTAAGATTTAGATACGTTCCACTTACGAGCCTCAAATAGGACGAAACATATGTCCTACATTTCATATCTAATTAATGCTGAAAATATAATCAACTTGTCAATTCACTCAATATTTAAGTATGTGTTTAGAAACGCTACAGACCAACAGAGACTAAAACAAAGTTTCCTTTTCAAAAAAGATCAAAAGATTGGAAATCTAAAAGTAGCAAACGAATTAAAAACAAGAAATAAATACGTGTGTAAAGGATGAATAGTCCGTGTATGTGAGTGTTATCGACACTTTTACTTCCCTAACACTGAAAAATAGGGTAGTTTATATTGCTGAATCCTCAGAAAGCCCATGAGTGTATAAGTTCAGTGGAAAGAATCAACAAAAACATTTGTTAAATTACAGAGTATTAACAAGGAACCTAGGAAGTATTTTATCAAAAGACGACTTGAAAAACGATATATCCCCGAAATATTTTACATAACTTTCCATAATAACAACTATTCAGGGCTTGTAAAGTTCCGTTACATTCTTCAGCTTTTTTATGTTTGCCACAAAGGTACGGTTAGAATTCAACACTCAATATTTACTTCATCAATTAAAAAAGACAGTTTATTTGCATATATTAAAAAAGATCTTCAACATAAAGTGTATAATAGGTATGTAAATAGAATTTATATTAAATATTGTCCTTATCTAAAAACTAGGGAACACTTGGTAATAGCTTTCTCTTTGCTCGACAACATATACCTCTCAACAACACATACAGATCACTACAAATGAAATAGAACATGAATTTTTCAGATTCTGCTAAGAAAACACAAGCTCTAGACTACTCGATTGAAAAATAAAGTTCGAAGTTCCTATCAAGTTAACTTATCACATAGTTCATCTATCATCCAGTTCAATTGATAAGTACCTACATCACTTTTATTTGGATCAAACACTAAAGTGTAAAAGTTTACTAGAAAATAATTTTTTATAAAAAACTGAAGAACATTTACAAATAAATAACCATGTCACTTATCCTATCTAATGACAAGAGGAAAATTAAATTCCAATTAGTTTTAATTACAACAACAATAACAATAGCCTACCGATATCACCATCATTAGAAGCATTTGATAATTCGATATTCAATGTAGACACTTCCAATTCTAACTGATGTTTATCTCTTTTTAAACGTGTATTTTCTTCTTGTACTATACTCATTGTTTCTTCTAATTGACGTAATTTGACTTGATTTGCTGTACGATTTGCTTCATAATCCGCTTCATATTCATCTTGCATACGTGTTATATCAATGCGTAATTTTTCAATAGTTTTTTCAGCTTTTTGATGATTTGCATAAGCAGTTTCTAAATCTTTTTTTAAATCTGATATGGTGTTTTGTAAATCCGTTAATTGTAATTTTAATAGCTGATTAGCCGAACGTAATTGATTTAATTCAGTTAATAGGGGTTCTGGAGCATCTGGATATAAAACTGTATATTCTGCAGTAGTATTGTTCTGTGTATCTTGTCCAGATGAATTTTTCAATGATTCCAGTAGGAGAAGATGTCTTTTCTCAGCTTGTTCCAATTTTAAGCTTATCACCTTTAAATATTGAAAAAGTCATAATTAATAAAGCATAAAACCATAAAACGTTTTAGAAAAAATATATCTCCTTATTAAAGTTGGACAGTGGCCAGTAGTTGGATTCAAAGGGAGGGTTTTTTCCTACTAAAGATCAATCATTTGGATGTACCTTCATCCAAGTTTTGATTTTCCACTGCTAGTCACTCCTGAACTTCGATTTTAAAAAACTTGTGAACAAACGATAATTACAAGGCAATCCGCACACAATAAAAATATATGCCAACGGAAAATAACTAATTGCAATTATGATAATCAATAACCGGAAAATACAAGCGCTTACATACAATAAAATCGTTTGCTCTAAAATTTAAAATATTTCGTTAAGCTTGATTCATTTTTGAAAACAATACGAAATTTTATGGGAGCAGATTTAAAGGTTTGAAAGAATGACATAAATCTCAGAGGCGTATTTGATCGTAAAAATTATTTTCAGGTTGTACAAAGTAATTTGTCATAGTAATCAGTTAAACAAAATCAATGAAAGCTATAGAATACACCGTAATAATTATCGGCCTCCTATTTACTTTGGTAAATTCTTGACCGAAAATCTATTAAAATAGATGATAAAAATAGTGATACATGGTTGTTCCAGAATAAATTGATAACACTTGTAAGAATTTAAATTTTTCCGTTGTTAATATTACGAACTGAAATTGGTTAATCTCTATTGATATATATGGATCCTAGGAGGATTGTTCTAAAATTACCATTCAGCCACAAGTTTTTACTACTTCTGACCAAAGAGTCCCAAATAGAAAGAAACTTATGTCTGGGATTCTACTGTTAGGTAAAACCCAACTTTATTTTTTTAAAATAACATATATAGGAATCGAGCAGTTATCTTGTTCAAGGTTAAAACTATTTAGTCATATGTATAAACAACAATTTCATACGGTACAGAACAAATGGATTTTTTTTTTAGTTTTACGGTAAACATGACAATATGACAGTAAGTTTGGGTACAATCGTTAAAAAAATATTCAAAATTCAATCAGTACCCAATATAATGCTATGCCCAGTCAATGGTCATTTAATTTTTTAAAAGATTTCTCAATTTTATAGTATTTTTTTTTCTACAAAACGTTTAATAAACATAAATAAATGAACACCAAAGTTATTAACAATTAATTGATAAAAGTCATTGTGAATTATCTGATCTCATTTTATAACACACACACATGTTACCAAGTTAACCACATGAATGAACGCAAATAATTTTCTTTAGAAAAAAGAAAGGCATAAATTCTTTCCACAGTTCAGTTTATTATTATAAATCCTGATATGGCTGAATTTAAATCAGGAAAAAAATCTCTTCAATGAATGAATTATTTATAATTACTTTTCTTAAAATAATTACAAGAAAGTACAATAAAATAATTATGAAAGAAATTATAAAACAAAACATTAAATTCATTCAATTGTTAATATTACTATTATTAGTAGTAACAGTAGTACTATTCCTGAAAGAAATAAAAGGTGAATGAAAAGAATAGAATTCAACTCAAACCTAAAACTACGCCCATAAATAAAGGATATGATTAGAAAATTAATGGTAAATGCTTTATGCAAATGACAGATAACCATGAAGAGGGGAATTGTATTAGCGATTTATTTATCGAGCTTTTAATCAATCAGTCAAAGAATAATAGATATGATCAGTTGTCAAGTATAGGTAAAATTAATTTTCTAGATAAACAGTAAAAATGAGCAACATTTTATAAAGATGAAGATTAATTGATAGAATGGGGAGAAATATGAACGCATATGTTCCAATGAAACAGACTGTGAGTCGTAACATCCATCTCCAATTATTGATCATGATTGTTGTGTAAATTCCACCAATCGACAATTTCATGAATTGAATCTGTTTTGTAGTTTGTTCGCTTCTACCTTTCTTTCAAGCCTACTCCTACTTTAACAAGTATTATTCATGTAGTTTTAAATATATAGTTTGTAATAACACCTTAATTAGATATTATGATTAATTTGATGAAAGATAACTCGGTTAGGACGGACGTTGACATATACACACATGGGAATTACTTCAAAAAATAACTATTCATTATAAATCCAGTGAATCAACAAAATCAGACCACGGATATTTTCAGTCGTATGGATCAGAAACAGTAGTTCTCTGAAAAGATTATCCCATTGATTGGTTTGGATGAAGGTCGTTTGTTTGATTAATTAGTATCTTTTATTGTATATCGTTTAGTGACATTAGTTATTTTGTTTCAATTCAGATGTTTTACATAATTTATAAGTCACCTCCTTCTGAAAACCGTAATATATAAAACACTTTATTGTTCTCAGTATAGGGTTGTAGAGAATGTCGAGCTTCATTAAGATCGCGAACCGACCAATGTTAGACCACCATTGAAAAACTGGAAACACTGAGCAGCCCTTTCATCCTAGTATAGAAATCCTCAGGAGTGAGCATCCAATATCGTGCACGCGAGTGTCTACGCTAGGACCTTCAGTCTCACGCGCAAACGCTCAATCTTGAGGCCACAGGGCCACCATCTAACGGTATTTATACCTAACAATTAATCGACGATATTGCGCAACCATTTTCCGTTGTCTTTGAAGAGTAACTACCTCACACCAACACTGTTGGACTCCACTGGTCATGGCTTCTCAATAGAACACTGATATTTACCACTCAAAGGACAAAATGGCCGCTCAGCGCTTACAGGTATTTAGTGGTGGTCTAACATTGATTAATTTGTTGTTTATTAAAAAAAAGAAAAACGGAATCTTAAAACTTACATTAGTTTGTTGTTCAGCTTGTATACGATTTTCTTCAGCTAATTCTAATCACTTCTAGCACGATCACAATTTTGTTTATAATGTGCATTTTCAATTGTCAATGCTGATAATTTGCACTTTAAATCATTCGACATTGCCTCCATTCTTTAATACGTTCTAATGCTTTAGCATATTCATGTTTTATTTTAATTAATTCATTATCAGAATGATTTAATTGATTATCATTATCTAATTTGATTGTTAATTGTGAAATAGGCGGTAAATCTGGTGTTACAGGCTTATTAATATCATTCTTTAAGAAAAAAAAAGAGAACCATGAGAGAATAAAACAGAAGTTAAAAACATTTTTAAATTGTAGATGGATAGTATAATAAAATTATAAAACGGAAATGTATCGATTAGAGTTGACAACTCGACCTATAGACTTTTTAGATGGAACTCAATTATAACATGTAGCAAACAGTGGAAATACTTTGTATACTAATCAAAACGTTTAAAGTGATTTGAAAAATTTTATTTTTAAAAATAAAGTAAAAATGTCAATAAAGTGTTGTGGAGATTGTTAAGTTTAGACTGACATAATGAATGGGGCAATGTTAGACCACCGTCGAAAACCTGGAAACACTGAAAGGCCGTCTCAGCCTGGTACAGAACTCCTAAGCAGTGTGCATCCATTGTCCGCACGCGGTACTCAAACCCAGGAGTCCCATACCAGGACAAACGGCCGTTCAGTGCTTTCAGGTTTTGAATGGTGGTCCGACACTGATCCATTCACGATATCAATCGAAAGTAGAAATGATGGTGTTGAACACATTGAATGTTTAATTTCGTCTCTATAGATTCTATACAACAAGTAGACCGATACCATCTCTAAATTTTAATATTACATCTTTAACCTTAAAACAAACTTCAACTTGATGGCATGTTTTGTGGATAAATTAATTAGTGAAAGCCTTTTTCATTTTGTATTCGAACTGATATCACAGTTTGAAATAAAACTCTAGTCCTAAACCCCCCAATCATTGCTTTAAATATCTAACCTTAACTAGGAACACTACGGTGTTCTTTAAAAATCCATTATAGTCTTTGTAAGGGTTCGAAAAGACAGATGATATACATGCATAAGGCCGGATTTATTTTGATTTGCAGGCAGAATAACGTGTAGAAAAATTCAGTAGATTAATTAATTGTGTAAAATCTGTCTTCACTTTGCAATACTGTTTTCTTTTCCATAAATTAACAATGTATAAAGACCATTCTCTGATTACCTAAGATTTTGATGCAAACTGGTGGCATTTGTTTTACACTCGTCTCCATACTATGCTTCTGCTGAAGTTACTAAAACGTATCTACTTTTAAGAGAGCAAGCAATACAAACACAATTTACCATATAGTGTTTCGGCGCGCGAGATAAAACGACAATTAATGTCTTAATTCAGTATATGAGTAGTTTTATTTTTAATTCAGTATAATATTCGTGTGATAGTTTTTTATTCATAACATTTTATAAAGTTAATTTAGTGTAACATTTTGTTTAGTATAATAGCTGTTTGCATAATTCCAGTGTAAAATCAATTTTTATATCCTCAATTTTTAAACCATTTGTGATATCTTTTGATTAATCATTAAACACTAGTAAAATCTGTACATAAGCGAACATATTTGGTGAATAAAATGTTATCGAGTTCTTGGAGGGTGAATACTGTCTTTATTGGACACTAGCCTTTATCATCCTTAATGCGTAATTTGGTTTATTGTAAATTGACTAGATTTACAAGAAAATTCCCGACCCCTGAATTTAAAATCACTGACTTGAATAAGATCGTACTCATCGAAACGTACATGGAAGTCGTAATAATATGTGTTAAAGAAACCTATCTTCAAATTCAATAATCTGCATACACTCACTTTTGTAATAAGGAAATTTAATCAACGGGAAAACGAATAATATGATGAAATGTTTGTGTTGGGTCGGCTTCTGGAGAACTTCAACGGAGCCTCCAGAGGCCCAAAAAGGAGCCGAAGGGCCCTAGCCAATCAGAGTACGATGGAACGTTCGAGAATTCCAGCGTGGCGCGCTACCATTGGTCGGTAGCATAATATGACGTTAACGGATTGGCTGAAATAAGATGTTGATTTAACAGACGCCAACATCTACAAATACCCTTGATTTTCTGTACTAAAATGAACCTTGGGATAAAGTGTTTCCTCTCATACTTGTGTCTTCTCTCTGGAGTTCAAGTCGCTGTGTAGTTCTAGTCTGCGGGTTACGGGCATAGATTAGGAATCGTATATAGCGTCCAACCTACATGACTTATCAGTTTACCATTATATAGTTATACAATAACTTACCTGAGTAATGCATCCAGTTTTACCATTCAATAATGAATTTGACTGAAGTTGACCTGGACAAACCTCTTGTGACAACAAATCTGTTGAAACTAGATAGTAATAAATACACAGTATGATTACATTACAATAAATTATTTATTTCATCTGTAAAATTTATGATTTGTAAATGACAAACTATTCCTCTCAACTCTATGCTAAAAGTCTGTCAAGTTGATGACATGTTAGTTATTATTCATTAACGATGACACAAACGCTGGATGTAAGACTTGGAGACTGGCTCAAATGATCGATTGTCCCAGCAACTTTAACCAGATTGTCACATGGCCATTAATTAATGACAACTGATATACTTATATAAGCAAAAATATGGAAGTTAATCCAGGTATTAAAGCCTAACAAGTCCTTCTACACCCTCGAATCACCTTCATGAATGAGGGAGGATTCTAAACTAATCAGCTCAGTAGTCTGTTTGAAAAGATACAGCAAATTGACGTAACTTATCTGACAATTATCTGGGCATAAATCATTGACTAGTATTATCTGGAATATTAACTTCTGTCAGACTCCAAACGCCTAGAATACTAACGCACGGGGGGAAAGTCGGATTTTGTTCGAATTGTGAGTGAATTGATGTATAACTTGGGTTTTTGAATACTTCGAACTAGAATAAAAACATTTCGCTAAATAGAATGTTTGGTGAGACATTATCACATATTTTCTTCTTAAAAGAACGATATATATATATATATATATATATATATATATATATATATATATATATATATAAACGAACCTTTCTCTTGATTATTCTGATCAGATTCCGCAGCATTAAACGAAGGAGTCAAGCGATTGGTTTGAATTAAAATCTATAAATATAAAAAACGATAAGTGGGAGTATTTGACCATTATTCATTATATTAAAAAGGATTCAGCAGGGAAAAGTTCCTACAGTAATAATATTGAATCTGATAGCGATATTAATGAGTACTAACTGTGCATCATTTCATACACATAGATTTCTCAATTATCATGAACAGAGCAGAAAAAAATTCATCCAGAATAATGTGAATTCATTTTATTTCGTTCGGTTCTCATCAGCTGTTTACAATCTATAATATTTTAAGATCAAAGTAATTATAGATATTGACATACATATAAATGCGAAAGTGATTAGAGACGGATGTATATATCATTATGTAGAGAAGATTCTAATATAAGTAATAAGATCGTAAAAAATTTGTTTCAGATAAATAACATGTGAGAAGGAAAGTTCCAGAATACTGAACTAGTGATTAACAATTATATTTGTTAGTAAACACGTGAATTGTGTAAGATACTGTAAACAGAACATTTCTACTGTTCGAGATAATCTTAAAACGACTATATTTCAAAGTCCTGAAACAAATTAAACTAAACTATGAAGCCAGTCATGCAATTTCATAAAACATAGAATGAGTTTTTTAACATTATTACGAAAAATCAAGAAAGCGAAAATATAAGGTGAGAGAATAAATCTTATGTCGCTATTGATACGTATTCGTTGAAAATAAGAAAAAAACCCTTACTAAATAATATAGTCTTTTATCTGTACGTGCTTATATTTTTACATCGTTCAAGACAACAGTTGATCGAACCCAACAATCTTGAGATCCTGAGCAAATTGTCATGATATTGTTATATAGTAAGAAATTTTCGGCAAAATTATATATATATATATATATATATATATATATATATATATATATATATGATTTACAGTAATGATATAATACTCATCGAGTGGATACGTTGCGTAATAGTTAGATAATGACATTAAAATTAGCATTGAGTAATTGGAAGAAAGAGGATTATTAATATTCAAAGTAATTATTAAATCAAGGAGTTGCTTCGTTGCGTAATATGTGAAAAGAAGAAGGAACAGGATTTTTAACGGATGGTCAATAGAATGGTAGTTACGTGAGAATCAACAGATGAATGTTGAGAAATTATCAAGTTCAAAAGCAACAGAAACAAAATTAAGAATTAAAAAAGAGACCCAAATGGAAGAAGTATGAAAAATAGTTCTGTCGAAGGTAATCTTATACCGATGGCCAAGGCAGCAAAAGTGGTTGCACAAATCTCTTTTGAATGCAAAGGTCAGGTTTGTGAACATTGATTGCGATGGCCTCCGCAATGTGCAAAAGGCGCACTCGTTAACCATGTAGGATATGGTAGATAACCTTAAAAGCTTTATTCAATTCAACTTGACGACCTGTATCAACCAAGTGAACGAGGATAGAACTTTTCATCACTTTTACCTGTCCTTTGCTTAACAACGACGGATGATGCTCTGTAATACGATAACGAACTTTCTGAATTGTACGCCCTATATAACTGGCTCCACAGGAGCAGTTGAATCGATAGATACACATGGATTTGGCGAAGATATACAAATTGTTACTATTCTAATGACACCGTCTCTTTGATAATTTAATTGAAGAGCTTGACAAAACTAAACGTAAGCAGAATTAGGAGTAGGTGAGATGCTATACATAAATACTGGGATAATTAGGTTCATCTAGCGTATGATTTCTAAACAGAAAAAAACGTGTATCTTGGATTACATTGATAACCACTATCCAGCCTAAATAAAATCACAGTCTTATGCTTTAGAATAAGGACTTTAAACTGAAATATCGCAACCACAATTTTAATATTCATAAAATAAGATAATTAGATCGATAGAATTTTATGATTAACCATAGCCTAGGCAACAAAAAAATAAGACTAATTACCATACGATAACCATGTAATGTTATAATGTGAAAAAATTATACAGCAGGATTTATGACTAAAAGTGAACGAACTGAGAATAGTAAAAATAGTGTGATCTATCGGTGTCCAAGTTGATATACTGACAACAACAAAAACATCAAATAATCAATATCGGATCATGATAAATAAAAGCAAGTAATTAACCAATTATTTTTATTTTTAATTACTTGTTTTTCAGATTTATTATCAGTAAAGAATGATGAATGTAGTGTGTTTTTCCTAGGCTTCACTTGTTTACCCATATCTATTAAATGAATAGGAAAACAGCAAATGTATATTACATAATATTTAATAAATTTACAATTCTGTACACTTGAACTGGTGATTCACAAAACAAACTATATTGTAGTGGCATTTTTATACAATTGTATTGTTTATACCTAATCTATCCTATTACTACTGATACTATTAATATTTCAAGCACACATTGAGAACTACTAGGAAAAAAAATCGTGTATAACTAATATCAACCAGTGTTACATGGGCTCTGTGATTACACTCAGCCCGCCAAAACCGTTACCAATTCAGTTAATTTTTATGATTCCACTAAAAGAAATATCCTTCCACGATGTGAACAAATAAAGTGTAACATTTACCCACACACCATCAACAGCACTAGAGATCATCCCAATAGTATATCACTAGGTTTAACAAAACCAGTATGGTTAAAAGCCGAATGCATAACTTTACTTGGTAAATGCATTAAATGGTGACGATGGCTTTTAATAAATTACTGAATTGACCTGAAAGAGACGTTTATGCTATTTACATCTATAGTCCCCATCTGATATCTTCAAAAATATATGAACATGCTCTTAATCTGTTTAGCTACACGATCACGGTTTACCACTAAAGAAAATTTAAGTTTGAATTACAACTTTATTAGAAAAAGTCAATAAAAGAAATCTGCCATACACTATTATTATTAATGTAGTATTTTTAACATGATGATACACAACTATGAATTCATTGGTATCTCTACGACCAATTATTCTTAATTTTGATTGGTTTTTTAAGATTTAATGCAATACTTGTACCTTAGCTAAATATTTAATAGCAAATGACGGTTAAATTCCTTAATGTTTAACCAATCAGTTATTCACTAAGAAGTACACCTTATATGTAGGTCAGTGGACTTAGTGGTTGGTGATGTTTGACTTTCAACCATTGTGTAACAAGTCTGACTAGAGTTGCAGATACATCGGCCTAAACAACCACACAGTATCCACTAGCTCTCGCACATCTACGTACACAAAATATGGTTGAAAGTAAGGAACAGGAATATATCTTTAGTGAATGGATTACTTCAGAAGTGGTTTTCTTATCTGAAATATGTTTGATTTCGAGCCAAAGAATTGGATCCCATGAGTTCATTACAAGTTGAACTAATTTAACCGTTTGGTCAATATTTTACCAAACTAATAGAATCGCCAGTGCAATTGTGAATGATAAATATTTACATGGTTTAAACCAATTCATAATCAAATTCATTAGTTAATTTGGAACTTCAATTTTAAATCATCACTTACCTTTTAAGTCAACATTAAGATCATTTGTTACAGAATCATATGAAATTGTTATAGGTTGAGTATTATGCTGGAAAAATAAGAACAATTAAAAGATAAATTCACTTTTCCGAAAAGGTAAGTTAAACAAAAGAATTGAATATTTGAAAAATATCTACTGAAATATTGAAATACAAAACAATGAAATAAAGAAAAATAAAAGACAACTTACTTTTGATTCAACTCCTGTTGAAATATTTAGTGATGAAGAATGGTAAGAAGTTGGATTGTCCAAGGAAATTTCTTTATTCATTATTACTGAATTATTCTTTGGTTCTAATAGAATTTTTTTATTACAAGAAGAGAATGGAACAAAATAATACAGAAACAATAAACCAGTTGGTAATAACAAAATATTTTAGAAGTTAGTCGATAGACTAGGTTGACGAGAGTTGATGCTTCATATTAGGATTAAAATAAAAGTTTTGATGAATTATACAAACTATAATAACAAATTAATATGTTCGGTATGTGTTTAGCAGTGGAACACAAGACCCCTATTTGGTTTTATTCGGAACTCGTCAAGTGAATGTATCCGCACACGACTGTTGATATTCATACACTAAGACTCGAACCAAATACCTTTCGTTTCAAATGCACAACGTGTTAATCCCTGAGCTATTGAGTTCATGTAGCCACTAACTTGTTAGACGGATATCAGTATATTAGTGATGGTGAGTGGTTTCTCGTCGTTGATAATAAGATCTACAAGTGATCGGTCTCTACGGCTATATCCGCATCCTGAAAATATTATATCACAAGTGATAGCTAATTATTCAAATTCTAACACAATCCACATTGATGTTTTTGTACATTGATCCATAATAAATTAGTGTGCCGTTCTGAATCAAGAATATACATTGATGAAGATCATTGACTATCGTTCATAAAGAGAAAATATTGATTTTATCTACAAACATAGTTCAAGGTTTATAATCAAGATATATAGACCACTGCTAGTCGGTCAATTACAATTGAATCAGAGCCTTGTAAAAATGTGCGATCGCTTAAACTGTTATATTACATCAAAATGATAATCTAAAGTTAACGAGAGGAATAAAAAAAGAGTATAAATGATTGTTACAAATACTCAACGACAGAGAATGAAGTTTAATAACTATGAATAAAAATTATGAAATATTAAGACTTGGAAGACGTTAAAGTATGAATGCATCTGTGCCATTGTGATCAATTTTAAAACTATTATAAAACATCTTAGATAAAAGTAGATCCAATTTGTAGATCTTCTTCGGTAAGATGCTTAATAAAAATAGGTTGAGAAAAACCTTAGAATAATTAGAATCAATGAATGTTATCTAATCTCCAAAAGTTACTGATATATTGTTTTTTATAGGTTATAGAATACAATATAGTCTGCCGACCGAAATTAAAATGTCCTAAATCAGCAGGTGTAAATCTTTAAAAAAGAAGTAACTAGCCTCGAAATCAATCGTAAAAAAACATATGTATCTACAATAGTTATCGTAAAACATACCGATATTATTATCTTCTGGATTCTGCTTTATAGTTTCCGATGAACCAACCAATAGGACAGAACCGCATTTATACGTTTGCTGTATAATGGGAAAAGTTATAATTATGGCTGTTGTGCAACCGTAGGGCAAACGTAAAATTTAAAGAAGAAAAACTCATTCGGGAGTTTATCTCATTAATGTTAAACCAGACATCTGTAGTTGGCATAAGAAAACGACTTTACTTAGACAACCGTTGAAGATTTAGAAACGGTGGACAGCTTTATGGTCTAATATGGGACTTGTCAACATTGGATGATTTGAAATTTTAAGACCATATTTTTGTAAAATTCTTAGTTTATAGTATGATTAAAGTAAGCAAGTAGAAAACGATTCTGAAGTTCCATTTTGGTTTTTATTCGTAAAATCGTAAAATGATATGCAGTACTGAGACAAGTATTGGCACGCGAACCATTTACGGTTATGTAGATAGGTATACCATTTCGCTCAGATAAGAAAATCATCACAAGATTGAGAGAATAAAAGACTATAAACTCATTTGGATTGTAGATCTAAGCTGTGTACGAACTAGTAAGCTCTTTAGATAATAAAACATCAAAAATACAATAATTACTCGTCCTCAAATATAGACATCCACTAAAACAGGGTTGGGATGAGACAAACGACAAAACATAATCAAACAAGCCTATAAACAAAATATGTGTATACAGTTAGTGAGATGCACAGATAAATATTAACTTATATGTGATACTTTCAAAAACATACGAACACCAGTTGCCGATATTAATTATGATGCAACTGATTCACTTACATTTGAATCAGTATCTCGTGAAATAGATATAGAACGTTTTCCACGTTTGCTTAATGTAAATTCCTTATCAATCATCGTGGTGCTTTGTGCTAAACACAAAAAATAGCATAAGAAATAAGTGACAAACTAAAATAAATGAGATACCAACAAAACAACAAATAGGTTCAAAGTATTTACTGATAAATATTTTGATTCAGACGGTTTAGTGAAGATACCATAGTAACTAGAATGTAAGTTTAAAAACAAAATGATGTCAGCCAAAATATTGTTGTGAACCAGGAAGTTAAAGAACGTTAATCTTTCAGATAAGCTACACCACCATCATTACTTTGCTTTGTGGTTCCAGGACATTGTCTTTATTAAGATATTCAGAGGCAGTAGGCTCATGCATTACGGTGGCACATTTATGAACAGTCATAGACTAGAAAAAAATGTTTAGTAGTATCTGGTTTTCTATAATTTTACTGGATAAATCAATTCTCCCAGCATGATTTTTATTCAGTACTACTGGTGTTTTTAATTCAAATTTAAAATTAAATTACTTCACAACGTAATTGGTTATGAACCATACTCTAAGTAGGAAGGCAAACGATACTAACAGGTTGACAAAGATGAAATAGGTCAGAGCTCGAACCTGCAGCTTAAAAACCGAAAGTGGGACTCCTTAATTACTAAAACACTGCTTCACAAATCGAAACCTGGAAGAGTAGGACACCTGTCTTTTTCGAGTGTGAGACTCTCCAACAGTTCTAATCCACGAGCTTACTATTAAGTATCAAACTCAAAAGCTTTGGTCTCGCGCGCGAACCCTTAAGTTCTAGATGACTGAGTCGTTTCTAACTCAGTCTGATATTTTGATTTTGTTTCAATGTTACGTCAATTCAAGACAATATTCTTCCGATTAGTTTAGTGTGAAATTCGTTCCGTATGAAACGAATTATGGGGCTTTGTAGTGGGTTTATGTATTGGTTCCATTCACGATGTTATCTAACTGATCAAATGTGAGTGAACTCAATATATTAAAGTGGTTGTATTTTTGAATCGTAAATTACAGACTTAGGTTTGCGAATGAATTAAAAGTACATTGCTCCAGCGAGGCCATTAAAATAAAGTGGCAAACTAATTCGAATAAAAATAAAAGAAAGAAAACTGTTTAAGAATTATTTAACTTTTAGCGGAGTGGCAGCATAGTGAATAAAGTTACATTTCTTTTTATTGGAGCAATTGAATAGTATTAACTGTCAGTCGCAACATATTTAGCTCATTGTGATGTGCATAAACCTATATTTAGTTAATGAATTACATTGAAACTATTTAAAAATCAATAATCATCATAACACGATGAGTCTGAATTAGGTATGTTTATGAGGATTCAATTCGACAGTGAGTTATATTGTGAAGTAACATGTTAGTAGAGATAAGTCTCATCGATTGATATATATACTGGATAATACAATATCAGGAATTGACTAAAGTTGCAAGTAACCATCATATGATTTCAAATAAATGACCTAAGAAAATACTGCTTACTATAAAACCCAAAAATCTAAGATTCAAGTTCGTGTGACGCTAGTCATGCGCATTACTGAGCATTCTTAAACTAAAAGCGATTCACAAGGCAATACGATGAACAGCCTTATATCAGCTCAAACTTCAATCTAGACTATCAACATATTTCTCCATTACTTAATCTATAAATTTTCTAAAAATGTCCAATTTTCTTTTTGATATGCTTAACTGTTAGTATTTTATATTACTTCGTAGACTGACCATAAATAGACAACCAACGGAAATTAAAGACCTACTGGAATCGAACTCCTCTGAAGTGCGCATCCATGATCACATTAAAGAATGGACTCAGGACCTCCAGGTAGTATTAGTAGTAGTAGAGAAAAACAGATATATACTGCTACCTGGTATTCAGTGCTTGCCAAACTAAAGCTAACCAATTCAACAATTTTCATAAACCTCTTATACTAAACTGATTTCCAGCCTAAACGCTTTGTTCACCTGTACCAAAAGAACAAGTTAAATGAATCGCTTAATAGAAGCAAATACAATCATAAACACTGATCTATATGAATTAAATAAATCTTACAATCAACATGTTCTTTATGTGTTGGTTCCAACTCTTCGCATTTCATCATCTAAAATAAAGGAAACTATTTCTATGAATGCAGTTATAGTATTTATTCGAAACAATTCAAATGAATACTATCACCATTCGACTTGAACAAATAATGAATATTACACACACATTATTTATAGTATTAATCTTGACAATTATAATTATAATGACATAATCAGTTTCAATGTGATATAAGTCGTTATCAATAGGATATATAGTTATGCGCTAGCCAATATTGCCTAATACACTATTACTAGTTCATGTGTTTGGTTGTGGTTGTTTTCTCATTAAAACAATTCTAGTAAGTCATAAACACAAATGTTAATAGTAACTCACTCTAATCTGTTTATGATTACAGCCACTAATTATTAAACGTAAATACCGGTTTTTAACCATTTTCCTGATACCTAGTAACCGGATTTTTTATCACTATAAAATATATTTAAGTGTAAAATGTAACTTAAATTATTTATGGGAAAACACTCTTTATCATTGAATAATAAATAGTTAATGTTTGTGAAGCATGTGATCTGTATATGAATGGGTATAGTCATGTATCAAAAACGTTGATAACTTTTATCAAATGATTAAGCTCATAATTAAATAACAGAATTGCAAATTCTGTCACTGGGATCAGAAATATTTTTACATATGCAAGACCATAATCACTAGTTCAGTAGTCTTTAAGATGTGAATAAATTTACGACAAGAATACTGAAGATAATCTGGATATTAAATATAGACTAGTTTCATATAAAGTCATTTCTGTAACAGGTTTACGTCAAATACGTATTCACTAAGGAATGGAGAACACTGAAGGGTTGTTTCATCTTTTTAAAGTACTCTGTAGCATTACGCAACCAAAACCACCACAAGACATTCATTTTTAGTATATTTGGTATGTGAAAAGAAGTAGAATTCATGATGTGTATTTTGTTTTATTTGGGAAACAGTAATTCGATGTATCTGTATCGCAGGCGTTCGTGTTCATACTGATTTTTCAACGTAAAATTCCTAATCAAACATCAAAATGATAGCTACTGAGTCTGGATACCCATTGAACATAACGCTATATCCAAGGTATCGGATAAGGTCTGATATGTGACGACAAAGACCTATTAATTGTGGAATTAAAATTATGATAATGGGAAATTACAAACCCTTACTAATGAGAGATCTTCAGGTTCATTAGGCCATTTGCTAAACATCTAGTGGTTCACACACTCAACCCCTATGAATTCGAGATAGAGAGCAAATAATGTCCACGTAATATATGATGTCTGCCTTATTACCCAAAAATATATGTTAATATAAACCCACAATCCAAAACTCGTTGGTGTATGAAGGTTTATAGTTGACTGTCTACTTATACAGCTATATCCAATAATGTTAATACCAGGATGGACAAATAACATTTGATTCCTTTCAAATTTTACAAAATGAGCAACAAGAAAAATAAATTCCTGCTTTCAGCTTCTTATCACATAATTATTCACAGATAAACTACTAAATTAACAGTAAGTAGATGATGGAATCTTATTACACGAAAAATGTTATATTTTGGAAAGCCTCGAGTGAAAAATTTAAAATATTTGTGACACATTCCACATCAAATAAATGTTATTTGTTCATTTTCAACTATCGATTATTAAGACAGGTAATCAACTCCACTGAATTAAAATACTTTGGCATATAAATAGAAATGTTATTCATCAGCTTGATCAGCATACTGAACTTAACTTATCCAAAAGTAAATTTAAAATTGTTTAATCGAAGGAATCGGTGAATTTTACTTTCAACAAATATATTAAATCAAAATTCAACACCTCTTGAAATCACTTACAGTTGATTTCAAACTTTCAGATTTTTCACATTGAATTGTAGAATCATCATCCACTTTCAACGTGGAAACTGACCCAACTTTATACATGGTATTATTTTTATTCGATGATACACTTATGGAAGCTATAAATAATGAAGAGTTTCAATGAATAAAATAAGAAATAGAAATATGTTCCAAATTCATTAGAAAACAAACATGAATAACACCTCAAAAGTATAGAGTTTTAGGTGAAATTGACAAACCAGTTAATGAAAGTGAAATCACTACAACATATTTTTTATGAATATTTAACCATTTTTTACACTTATATGTTGATTGATACGAGAGTAAGTTGAAAAAAATCTAGGCAGCCGTCAGATCAAGATATAGCATTACTTTATGAAGTCATTTATCGTTTAAATGGTCTATACTAGGAACTGTAATCATCCTAATTGAAATGCCATAGTTTAATTGTAAGCTTCGGTTGAAGATCATATGTTACATGCCATAAATAGTGCACAGTAGGGGTTAATTTGACTTCTATGTTTTGTCTATTCTTCACCATTAATTACTACTTATTATTACATGGATTCATTTCTCAATTTCTTGATGAAAATTGTTACATTTCATGCGGATTCTACGTCGTTTATAGATGAGTTAGTCAGTCATTATTAACAAAGAGCATGGTACAGATGTACAACAGCTCAAGTTATATCATATAAACCAGATGAAACAAAATTAATAGAATGATTAGCAAAAATATCGAAACAACGAGGTAACAACGATAATAAGAACTACTGAACATTGAGAATATGGTTCAAAAACACAGAGTCACTGTTTAGAGGAAGATAAAGAGCGAATGTTCATGCACTACTGTGGTGTATTCTAACCCCTATCATTCAAAGTCTCCATCCACTGATCATGGTTATCAAGAGGACCTCAGCCGGAGATTCTGTATCATCCAGTATGGCTCAGACCAAAAGTTAATGACTTCATGGCTGATATCGCTCATTGCATCTCCTAACCACCTCAAGTCAACGAAGACTTGTAACTTTATCAACTAAAATTCCTATCTTTACCTAGTGCCATGGGTCTAACATTAACATTGCTCACAAGGTTGTCCCATGAAACACAAACAATCGTTCAAAGACGTCTATGAGTGAGTTAAATGTGAGTAAAAAAGTCCACAAGATAAAACTTATTATATGTACATAGTTTGTATTTTTACATTATTGATATACAAGGGATACATTTTGATCATTGCATTTCGAGTAATTTGATAGCTATTAAAAATCAATAGCTTAATAAATAATGTACTTGCATCTGGAGTAATGAAAACTTAATTCAATATGCATATACAGTAGGATCCCAGTGTGTTCAGCTGATGGATAATATTATATAGGACAAAATGCACATAATGTGATTCAGTGTAGATCATTATTAAACAACTTAATAAATTAAATAATTCATTGATAAATTGTATTAACAATATTACAATTTTTAAGAGATAAAAACGTTTTACTTCTACATAATTAAATTAATAACGTTGATTAAGTAGTAAGTGGATAGAATTTGTTATCTAAATACTTGAAATATTTACACTAAAGAATAATCACAGTATTTGTAGTTAAATATTACTCAAAACAATCATTTTCGTTCATGAAAACATTCATTATATTCGGAGATTTTAGGTAATGTGGCTCAAAATCGACCACACTGACGCAGATACATTCACTTTATCTGACTCAAGAAAGTGAATATCCGTATTACTTCATATACATCTTCCTACTGTGCCTTTTTGAACCTTATTCTCAATGTTCAGTAGTTTCTTTTATCGTTGTCACTATATTATTTTGATGGTTATGTTAATCATCTAATTAGTTTTGTCTCATCGTGTGAATATATTATGACAACGTGGGACAACGTATGTTCCAGACACTACATTGATTGCAACATAAAATTTTTTATTACCATTGGTTGATACTTATGCAGGACTGATAGTTCTATCGTTAGAACACCAAACTTTCAACAAGTGAACTCACAGTTCCGAATTCTGTTCTATCTATTTCCATGAGGATAGTGTTGATCGAAGCGATACCGAGCAGTAATATCGACAACAAATTTCTACCAATATAGTCCTCATCCATGGAGTGCATGCCAAAAAACAGAAAACTCACAATGGATAAACTATTTCTGACAACATTTTGTTCACTCTGAAAATTTTCATGAAATTTGGATTTATGATGTAATATACTATTTGAAAAAGGTTAAACACAGTTCGATAAAATCCGCTTTTACATTCGAAGTTGTTTTCTAGATAACAGTAAACAAGAGTACACAATTTATTGCACTGGGTATTGAAACATATTCATTATATTTAGGCTAAAGTACGACTTAAACAAGGTAGGGTTGAAGTTTTAACCTGCGGTTACCTAGTTTAATGAGATTCAAATATGCACATCATTGACGTACAGTTTTACACAGCTGGATATACAAAAATATATCTAGAGAAAAAACATCTACCAGGGCATATTATAAACGAAACTATTGTTAATGTGTGAATATGAAATTCGTATTAAAACATTAGAGAATATACATCTTACCGTTTATATGCTTTTCATTTATCTCAACGTTACATGCACGTTCCTCAGCATTTGTGTACTTTGGTACAATATGAGGATTGATTTTATCTTCTTTCTGTAAATTGCATTGTAATAAAAATATAACCAGTTAGAAAACGAACTGAACTTATAAGCGAAATTAAAACTTACTACTGCAACCACTATTGCCCATATATGGAATATATCCAAAGAATAGACTATAACACTTATTGATTACTGTGAAGTAACCGACGTTATGTTTGTCTAATCACTAGAGTTGGCAGAATTCTATCGATGTAGTTACGTTGTGATCATAAGTTTAAATGACTCCATAACATGATGGTTAAATGAAAATCAACAGGAAGTTTATAACTTAGCTTCTATAATACCTGTCATTCATCAACTGTGTGCATCTGTGATCTTGAGGAAATGATGCTCATTGTGAGGTTAGGACCCGTAACACTTAATATTACAATCAAAAATATTATCACTGAGCTTTGTACACCGTGAATGAAGACATGTACAATTTATCAACGACTGATATCAATGTTTGTCTAATTTCTTCATGCTGATTGAATTGTATCGATCATGTTGTAATGTCTCCATTAGACAAATAACTTGGCCACTATATATTATTATACATTCACACTAATGACTATAAATAGAAACTGACAACAAACAATATCGTCTGATTTCAATATTAAGTTGTAAAATATAAAACGTAACCATAAGGATTAAATAGATTAATAACAAAATCTTAACAAACATAAATAATCGACCATCTCATTCTTAGTAGTGATAGCAATTAATTTATCGAGTAACATAAAATTATTGACCTGATTCGTTATTATAATTATTATTTTTATTATTTAATTCATCTTGATTTTAAGATAGGAAAGAAAAATTACAAAATCTTCAACAAAAGACTGTTTTGCTCTTTTCATTTTTATTGTCACAGAGATAGGAAATTAATTAATTAATTGCTTAGTTTTTCTCCAGATTTTAAAGACAATATATACGGTTCTTCTTACCTATCGATAACTACTGCAGACACAAATGACCTTAATGAATTGATATCATCATTATTTAGATATTACCAAAACTATTACTAATATATTATATATATATATATAGAATATAGGGCGACAATATTGTGTCCAGATAATTAAAGTTTACACGAAACGCTAGACTCAAGTCTATTGGGTAATCACTATATATATATAAATACTGCTTCGAAATCCACAATGAGTAGTTCCTTATGACTTACTATAAAACATCAATTTATCAAAATACTTGACGAAAAATCTCACTAAACAAAAGCTTATATGTTTATATAAATAAATCATGAATAACACAACTTTAAAAAAAGTATGGCGATTTATTGATACACCATATGATACTTTAATGGATTGCGATGCATATTACAGTGGTGACCCAAATGCTAGTTTAGCATTATGCATAACTTCAAGTATGGTTGGTGCTATTTCTATTTACATTCTACCATTTATTTGTATATTCGGTATCATTACAAATATTTATATTGGTTATGTATTTTTATATGAATTTAAGAAATTAAGTCGACAATCAATTTATATGTCACTTATATGTTGGTCTGATTCAATTACTATACTATTTCTTGGTATCCTATGGATGATACCAGCGAAAGGTTTACCGTTTGCTAGTGAAGGACGTATATATTATTTTATCATTTATGAATCTGTTGAATTATGTCGATTCTATCGTGGTATCTATTCATTGACATCAACATTAGCAAGTAATTTATTATTATTAACTAGTATAGATCGCTGTTTATGTATATATTATCCATTAAAATATCGTACAATACCTGTATATTATGCATGGTATTTAATTGGTGGAGTTAGTTTCATTTCATTCTTATGTGTTTTACCTGTTATAATATTAGTTGATTTTCATGATATTGGCACATTTACAACATGTTGGTTACATGAAAGTCAAGCATTTTTGCAAATATTTATTATATTATTTAATAATGCTGGTTTTATACAAACAATAGTTATACTTGTATTGAATATCATATTTATGATAAAAATGCGTAAAACATTTACCAAAGAACGTTTAGCTGATCCACAATCGATTGAAAGTAAAGAATGGTCAGCTAGTGTAATTTTATTCATTTTATCAACAACATTATTATTGTTTAGTTTACCACAATGTGCTGCATATTTAGCTGCTTTCTTTTTTCCATCTGTGATGGAGAAATCACAATCGGAACAATCAGTACGTTTAGCTTATAATATTGCCGATATAGCATGGCAATGTATATTTGCACAGAATGCTTCAGCAATATTTGTTTGTTGGCAAAGAATGCAGGAATTTCGACAAGTTTTTTACCGATTATTCTTGAAAGGACCATTACAACCACTTAGAAAGTATGTAAATGAAGCACAATCCACTACACATTAATTAAATATTCTCTTAAATAAATTCTCATATTGTATGTATAGTTATACTTGTGGTAAAAAGTTAAACTTTGCATGAAGTACTGGTTTGAGGGAAGAGGTAGTTAAAAGTTTGACCTTTCAATCAGTTGGTCACAGGTATGAGCACCGCTTCAATTAATTTGGTTTAAGAGATCGAGTAGTATCATTGGCCCACATGCAATAATAATCGTTTATGGTCGACTACACGAATGAATACTTAATAAATGAGTCGGATTAATAAAATACACACTAGTGATGGTATATTTTAAACACGAAATATGCTCAGTTAAATTCACAGTTTGTTTAATATTTTCAACAAACGAAATACAATCAAGCTCATTTTTAAGAGTGTATACACAATTAATAAAACAACATATTACGATGGAGAAAATAGTAATCAACTACAAAAACCAAACTAACAATAGAAACTATTGCGAATGTTTGTTTTATTTCTTAGTGAACTTTCAACCAATTTTAATGCATCTTAGCTTGTTGTTTATTTCAATACCTTTTAATTTTTGTATGTATTTTGATATTACGCGTAAAAATGTGTTAACTTCAAATAAATGCACTGTTTTTATTCAATAGCTTTTTATTTACCTGCTTATGAACAATTAAGCTTATAAGTTTAGACATCAAGCATTTAAACGTATAAGCATTCATGTAATTTACAGGTTGATGGTCGTTATTAATTAATAGAGACTGGGGAACTATTGAAAATAAACGAGCGATGAATAAAAATGCCATTTAAGACTTACGACTGATCCAATCATAAAATACTACGTGGAATCGAAACTATAAAATTTGGGCATTACTGTGACCGGGATAAATTGAAGCAAAAGTTTCTGGGATTATTTACTTTTATGTGAAATGTTCACAGATTTATTTGCTTAGTTTTGGATCACATTTTTTTGATGTTATGGCTAGTGATATAATCCAGATGTCTAAACGGAATTAGTTGGTGATGAAATTCATACAGAGGCGTTGGGTCAGTAAACTGTCACTGAAGGAGATTCACTTTTAGCTACATTCAATGATTACGACTACATTTGATTGGTGTGCGTTTTTCTCACATCGATCCAGTTAACTTCACAGTTCATGGGCTTCATCTTCATACAGTGACTGTGAAATCAAACCTGAAGTTTGTTATCATTGAGTATATGGTTATTAACATAAGTTTCAACTATTTTATAGATACCAGTTTCTGATGAAAATGATTTTTTTTTAAAAAAAACTGTTACATTTGCTTAACAAAAGTCTCTCGTTTTTGAACATTTTTGAAATCACTGGCAATTCAGTAGTGAAAATAAAAATAAGACTTCCTGACTGTTTGTAAGAGCACTCTGTTAATATATTTTGATTGCCCATAAATTTATGCATTGATACAGTACTTTTCAATATGTCAAAATCATCCTAAAATCATTAAATTACAATTGAAAATACAACTATATCATGATGAAAAATAAAAGAGTGAGAGAGAGTAATCGCTTTGCATTCTACGATGCGTTATTTCTGGACAGTAAAATATTTCCTAAAATTTATAAATTTATGAGTAGGTTAAAATTAATTTTAAAGTGTCGGTCTGAAATAAGAATTAAGTCCTTAAAATGAATTCAATGAAATTCGTTTCGGTTTTGAAATATAAGTAAATAAATCACATTTAGAGTTATCTGTCTACCAAACATATAATTTACTGATTGAAAGCACTGAGTCGAACGTGTGACACAGCAAAATACAGTTTGATAAGATTTCACTGATTACTAGTTTTCAAAAAATGAATGCTGTTAGGGTTCATCGTGTTTATGCCACACTCATTACTTAGGTAAATCTAATTCTTCTGTAGTTAAATATTCACAAATCATTGACCGTGCTATGATTTCAACAGTTTTTATAACGACACACATAGGAAAACAGAGAGGCAACTATTTGCAGCTTTAATTGTTGACAATACATTTAACATAATGAAGCACTTACATTTTTTAAAGTCTTGATAGTTTATTTGGTTACTTTGAATGTTTTGGTTTGTATTTAACTGAATTAGTGCAATATGAAAACAAAGTTAATCTGAACTATGAGACAAATATTAGATTGATTACATTTGCTTAAAAATACTACTGAAAATGAAATGAAGCTATTCAACGAAATATTTTGATACAAAAGATATTTATTGAAATTAAGGAAAATGAAGAAAAATTGGAAAGGATGTACACCTTTAGTTTCCTATTATTGAGATATAAGTCGATTAGCCATATGTTGAAATGGAAACTTTAATACGGCGATCAGTTAAACATAAAATATTATTAAGCCTATTATCTCTACTATAATTATCATGATTATTATTATTAATGAAAAGAGTATGTTTATGGTTCATCAAAACGTCAAACACCATCATACAATACAGCGTACCAATTTACCAGTAAGTATGTATATATATACAGATGAGATATTATTCTTAACTTGCAAATAAATAGGTGATAACATGGTTATGAAATAAAATAAATCCCAATAATTCAATATGAACAGAAGATAAACACCCGTCATCTATTTATTGTAAAGTATACAGTTAAGGCAATTCAGAAGACTGAATACAATCAGAATTTCATATTGTTACTTAGAAATGATCTGAGACGAGTGTAGATGGGTTTATTGACTCATTAACCATATTAATATAAACAGTATTGTAGATAACAATGTCTCCTATAATTAGGTTTCAGTATTCTAATGTTCTCAATAGTTTAGAGGTCTTTTATTTTTTATCTAAATATCTGAACAAATTAGTATGTCATTAAACTGGATTACTAGAAATGTATTCAACTGATGTAAATCACATTAATATTCTGATAAACTTCACAATCTCATTACATACTATCTAATTCGATAACCAAAGGAATTAATTGTTTTAAACAAGAATATTTCATATCTATATATCTTCTTTTATTGTTATGAATGGAAAAAACAAATTTATTTAGAATGAACTTACTATCACAACTTGTTGTTCATTGCAACAGTCAATGATAAATGATTTACAATCGGGTTGAACATGGATCAATTCTTGGTCAATAGATATTTCAGGAGAATAAGATAATCGATGAATAAGTTGTGGAATGATAAATGTTCGAAGATATATCTTAATGATGATGATGATAATAATAATGGAAATTGTAAACCAGAAAAAAAGGAAGTATTTAATAATTAGATGCGGCAAAACGCATATGATAAATACATGAAACAATAATAAGAAAAAAAACATAGAAAGCTAAATAATAACAACTCATATAGTTTTAAGACAAGATAATTACGAAACAGTTATTAGTAGTTATCAAAAACAACATCGCCTTAGAAAACAACTTAGCATAAGTTCTTGATTAAACATTAGGAATGGGCTTGGCTTAGTGATAGAATCATTCAGCTTCTAACCAGTAGGTCAGGAAAGTTGAACATTTCTTCTGTTTTATTTTAGACAATTCAATAATATTAGTAGGGTTAAACAAATAAGGTATGACTTAAAGCTGAGTGGTCGGCAAATAGGTTACGTTATTATTTATTCATTATTCCCAATGATTAATATAACTGATAAACTTTTGTAAGTGGAAGAATAACAAACATATTATCTGTTGAAGTGTCTTTATCCCGTTTTTTCTTGTTTTAAAATTCTTACACATTCATTATTTTAAAGGTAAGACGCTCGACAGACATGAGAACCATGGATTATGTCATTTATTGTAGTCCCGAATACTTTTTTTATTAATATTAGGTCGTTTCAATAAAGTCTTGAAGTATTATTGCTACTAATATTACTACTCTTATTACTACAATAACTGTGATTGCTTTGCTATACTTTAGTACTTCTGAGACATTACCACTGAGCTATTTGTGCCTCAACTGTATATATAATACAAAACCAACAAAAAAATGATTGGTTAACTTCGTCGAAAAAGGAGCGAAATTTTTTTCCGCTAAATTCATGTGATTCTTATTTAACAATACAATGGGTTACTTCATACACATAATTCCCTTTATTATTTTAAAGAGAGCAAGAACAAGGATTGGTGCAGAATAATATGAATTCATTTTATTTCGTTAGGTTCTCATCAGCTTGTCGACCTTTGATTATGTATCCCTTTCATTTTACCACCAACTGCGTATACAAACTCACATGTATCTGCCAAAGCAGTTACATTGGTAGAACATAAAGGAGAGTCGACGTCCGATCCAAAGAACATATTTCGAAACGTTTAACATCAAATGGATTGAAAGCATTCAACAGTGCCATCGCAAGACATCTCCTTGACACAGTACACGAAGTCGATACACTGAAGTCCTTCAAGGTGATTATTAAACAATCATGCTCCAACCTTCTGAAATTTGCTAAAGCATTAGCAATCAAACGTCTAAAACCAGACCTATGTATACAAAAAGAGACAGTAATAAATCTTTCTTTACTTTGGTAACAATAACCCCCTTTTTTCATTCATTTATTTCTATTTGTTTATTTATTTATTGCGTCATTATTCCAACTCTTTCTGAAGTTTAAATTACATCATACATAATTGACTGATTTCAATCCATATTTTCTTTATTACCATTAATCTATTTTCATGAGTTCTAATCACTATTTCAATGTTCCGGAACTTTCCCTCTCAAACTTTATTTATTCGAGACAAAATTTTATGACCTCATTAACTGTATCGGAATCTTCGCTACACCATGATACATTTATTCATCCTTAATTACGCTCTTATGTATGAGTATGTCAATATCTCTAATAATGTTGAATTTTAAATAATTTAGGTTGTAAGCAGTTGATGAGAACCTAACAAAATAAAATGAATTCATATTATTCTGCACCAATCTTTGTTCTTGCTCTCTTTACAATGGGTTACTTTAACTATTAGAAGTACCTTTATTTAAGGCACAAGATTTACACTAAAAACTAAAAAAACCTAATGAATCCCCGATTTCAGTGGAACCACTACAACAATATTTCAAACGGATTTGAATTGAATAAATAAAATACAACGGTTGATAAGCTCAGTTTAAACATGAATGTTTAATTGAACTTAAAAACAAATACAATAATTTAAATTATCCATATTTGTGGATTACGGCTTCCAGTGTTCACAATGGTATAAAGATATTTAGTTTTTAGGACAGAAATAAAGTAAAAAGTACTATGTCATCAGTATTATAAATAATAATTATTTCCTGCCTTACACTGAGTTACGAAAAGTCAGAAAACTTAATTTTTCTACTTATTAGGATATTAAAAATATTTTTTTATTATTAATCATCTATCTAACGTTCAATCTATTGAAAGTTATCAAACCAAACCTTCTGTATTGATATCTATAAACAATAATTATTAAAAACCTATCGAAGTCATGGACCTACTATAATTATAATCTCTACATCTGGCTGAATATTTTTCTGAAACTAAATAACACTGATCGATTACCGCTGCTACAATAAAAACTAATAAACCTGAATAACTCTACCCTATTGAATGTCATGAAATAGGAAACATAAAGAGTTGTAATGTAAACATCTACTGCATTGAAAGTAATGTAAGTAAATAAGACATCAATCACTGGAAAGTGAACTCGCCTAAACGTTTATAGAATCGATTTCGAACCAAGTATTTTTGTCCGAAGATTAATGGTACTAATCAAGTTGATACTTTGAGATTTGTTCAAGGTGATTAGCAGGGATTCAAACTCTAATCTGCTAAAATTTATTGCATACATATTAATCAAACACCACAAACTTGATTTCTGTTCGAAAATGAACAGCGATTACATTGTCCTTATCTTATTGTGGTATTTTTTCGAGCTCTTTTTCTTACTTCAATGACATTATTTTTAATTGTTTCAAATTCATCATTTCATTCTCAACTGATTGATCTCAACTCTTGTTATCATTAGATTGTATTAAGCTGTTCTATTGTGTAATCGGTCAAATTCTTTGTTTGCGATCTTGTCTTTTTAAAATCTAATTAACATAAATTGAATCTTCAATCAATGACGTATCATATTTAACGCTAAACAACTTTGTTTGTACGAGTTTGTTAACCTTTGTGTATGATTTCAAATTTTAAAAAAAACTAATGAGGAACTAACAAAATGAAATGAATTCATGTTATTCTGTTTAGGTTGTTGCATTTGTTCTCTTCAATTTTATAAAGGGAGTTATGTAAATGAAAGAAATGCTTGTTCTAAAATGAGGAAGTCCTAGTAAAAAAATGTTACTAGTTGAGTTCATGAGTCTATCTAAGCTACGCCACCATTAAAAGCCTGGAAGCACTAAGCAGACGTGCTTCTAGGTTTTCAACAGTAGTGTAGCTCAGATAGACTCATGAATTCAGCCATTAACATTACTACAATCTCTACAAATCCCTATTCTGATAAAAAAAAGTGCCAACTAAATAGTTATTCTGATAGTTATTATGAGTTACCTTCTATCCACATGACTAAAATGAATGACCTGGATAGTTTATGGGTCATAAACCATATGACTGATTTTAGTATAATCACTGTCCAGTATCTTACAATAATGATTAGTCTCAAAAATACAGAAAAATTTAAATGTCGTTTTACAAATTTTAGCAAGTAATATTGTAGTGAAGGAGAACACAGGTGAGGACAACCGAATTATATTTAGCACAAAATTACAGAGTTACTTGGTAAAATAGAAAGACCATACTATAATACCTAATTTACAAAATGCTCAATAGTTGTCTCGAACTTCATTGTTCTTGCATTTCTATACTAATCGCTTTCTATTCCCGTTCTTCCTTTCTCGATCTTTCCAATCTTCTGTGCCAAACATTACATTCCTGACTCGAGTTATATACTACTTATGTCAATATAAGTAGCACGCACCACAATATCACGTGGTGCAAATTAAACAACAAAAGTATGGGTGACCTTAACTTGGTAACAATGGGAAGACACAAAACAAAAACAATCAAAACTTACATTATTACTACCAAGTTGAAATGTTTCTGGTGAATAATGAAGTGAATTCAGGATTTCATGAACAATCTTTAATGTCGAGAAAAATAATAAAAAAAACTAATGATCAACAATGTTCTATGTAGTGTTGTATTCATGAAAATGGAAAGTGATGAACCTATAAGGTTATAGAAAGCTTGTTCATTAAGTATAGAAAATATTACAGGACTACAACAATTTTTAAACTTATAAATATTTTTAAAGTTGATTTATTTTCAACTATTTTCTTCAGACAAAAACGAATCAGTTTACCAGTGTCCCTTTTAAGAGTTGATCACGTTAGTCTCTATTCTTTAAATCACGTCATATTTATCAATTTTAAGTAGCTCAATAATAAAATACGAGTAGGCTTTATTTATTTCCCTTTCATTTTCAGTATGACACAAGCTAACTGCCAATGTATCTTGTACTAAGCATAAAAATGCAATAACCAATATCTGGCTGATTCGTCAGTACCACATACTGTAATCAACTTTCGTTTGTTAAGATTATTATATTTCACAAAGCAAATATGGAAAACATATCAAAGAAACTAGAAACACCAAAAAAGAAGATGGTAAAAATGTAATTCAGTGGCATAGAATGGTCTGAATTTTGAATCGTGTTGCATTCGTTGTGATGTAGAGCAGTATATTTATTTTTATTGCCTAGAACGCACAGGAATTTACGTTTACTAACAACAACTGCAAACACTAGTATCTTCAGTATAGAAATACTTCATAATTTTGAAAGCGGGCATGCAAGTAGCTATTTTATCAATATGATTTTTTATTGTTGAAAATACTTAGTAAAAATCTAATCTCTAACTAGTGAACACCCATTATAAGACAGTGTTTAATAAAACAGTATGATAAGTAATTATCAAAAGATCACTTGAACAAAGAGGTTGAATAAACAATTAGCTAGCAGAATCAAACCCTGAATTTAAATTGAGCATCAGAAGAGAGTTATCGAGAGAAATGTAATTAAATAGATATTAAGATTGTACTGTAATATCACATATCAAGCAAGACTATAACGGAACAATGAGTTTATACATAATTAGACAAGATAATAGAATTATCAACACAGGAAAAAAAAAGAGAAAATGAATGAGAAATACATTTGTTTGTGCAATTTAACACTTACGGCTTTATTCAATGATTCATTCTGTTTTAATTCTCTTATTTTCGAACTATTTGGTAATAATGAAACAAATCGATTACAAAATTCTTTTAGAGATAATCTATCCGGATAACTTTGTTTAACCGCTTGTAGAGTATTAATTAATTCAATACCACGAATTTGTGCACGTATTAGATTGACACATATACGTGCTGGACTAAATACTAAATTTTTATTTGGATAACGTTTCATTAATTCAGATAAATATGAGTTGGATGTATTATGATTAATGTCCTCATCATTAGTATGATTGTCGTTATTTGCAAGACGATCATTAGAGGGATAATTTGTTTGCATCAATTGATTAAGAGGTATTTCTTCATTTAATTCACATAGACCAGCTGTAGATACAGGTAAAAAACAGTGAATCCAATGCATACCACTTGGTGGACCACCGTCATTAAAACCAGATCCAGGATCATTTGGATTATATGAAGCATTGTGTGCAGCACAATCATATAAAGAACGTGTTAATGTATCCTAAAAAGAAAAAAAACATTGACGAAGGACTTTTTCAACATAAAATTATTTGAAGAAATATCTTGATAAAATAACTTCAAAGTCTAATTAAATAACAAAAAAATCATCACAATAGTTTTAAGATTATAAGTGTGTTTTTTCACAATCCTTACAAAGTATCTTATTTCAAATATTGATTAGAATATAAATGCACAGTTATGACAAAAACAAAAGACAGAGTATTTACTTATATAGGGAAACACAAAATACAAAAATTATAGTTGAAATAATCTCAATTTTCAACTAGTCAATTTGGTGAGACCGTAATTTATAGACAATCTATGAGCAAGGCTAAAGTGATCTTGAGAATGCCCACGTACTATTTAGTATTAAATGAGGGTAATAAACCAGTGCGAGGAATTAGAGAAATGATTTACAGTAGATGGTTCGAGTTAGAAATTAAATTTAGGGTTTTATCACGAAATGACATCAGCTAAATGTCAACAACAAAAAACATTTAACCAAATGGATGAGTGAATTTCGCCCCAAAACCCAAGAACCGTTATCTTAAATCTGATTGGCTCATCCATAAATTGTAGTCTCGCCGTCTATACAAATCGATTATTTATGTTGAATAACAATAGACAGATCGTGAGCTGTAATGTTAAATTATAAGTTATTGGTTATAAATGAAATTATCGTAGGAATTATGTTATTTGAAATATGTTCGATAATTCTGGTTTTGATCATTTTCTTGTCAGATATCGGACCAGTATCATGCAAACGAAGCGTTGAAATTACTTAAATTTCAATCACTGAAATAATAATTTATAGATTTTATTTCTTACGAGATATCGTTTTCAGAGATCAAGTTCCTTGCCGAAAATCACTAACAACAATACTGATTTATGATATGGGGTCTGAATACGTATTTTTCTAAAGAATAATTCATATGGGAGAAATGAGTAAGGTGACTGGAAAAATATCTTGTTTTAGCACGTATAAAAGTTAATATGATTGACATACTATAGATATAACACTCAATATGAGTTATATGTAAAACCACAAAATATGTCCACAGAAAACATGTTAGAATAACGAAATGAGAAATCCACGAAAAGGAAGCAGATCAATATTAGTTGAAATCACTAACTGATCTAAGCAATGAAGCGCCGAACGGCTGTTTCTTCCTAACATAGGACTCCTCGGCAGTTTGCATCCACGATCCCATGCGTGAGACTCAAATTCAAGAACTTCGGTCTCGCATGCGAATGCTTAACCTCCAGATCACTGAACCAACATCCAGAGGTTTCAGTATCTAACTTTAATCAATCCATGATATTGAACAACCCATCATTCATTGCCTGAAGTGGATATCTGTCAGCTCAGAGGTCTAGAGTTTAAGCGCTCGAGCACAAGACAAAGGGTCCTGGGTGTGAGAACGTGGATGCACACTGCTGAGGGGTCCCATACTTCTACGGAACGGTCAGTTTGTGCTTTCAGATTTTCAATGGTGATATAGCTTAGAGTGATTCTTGATTTCAACTATGAAAACACCACAATATCCGTAAATCCCCATACAGATCAAAAATAGTTACTTTGGAGCGCTTCGTTTAATTGAAAAAAGATCAAGTGAGTAAAAGCATTTGAAGTTCGGATAGGTATCGCCTACAAAATTATGAAATATATTTTTAAATACCTTATTCACTGTAGTTAAAATCGAGCTATTCGTTTTATCAGGGAATATTGAAACCTAGAAATAATTCCTGGACAAGATTTTTAAAGCGGGTTAAATTAATTTTGATGCGTTTTTTTTGGCTACTTAATAATAATGAGTAGATCAAGCATAAATCTCAATTTAATAGGTTAAATGGACTGTTAATATCAATGTAATATGAGTTTCATTTTATTTGAGACTCATCGGTTGGATATACCTATAACCAGATGTTGACTCTTACATCGACACTAAAACAGTACATTTTAATTTCAGCACCATGTTACATTCCATATATTGAAATAAAAGTAAAAAAAAGTCAAATAATTCACAAGAAACTTTTATAATAATCAGATTGCAACGACTTAGAAAAATAGCAATACCAATCTTCAAAATGAATACTATAAATTGCTTTTCTAAGAAAAGAATCTATCAGTTTGATATTTTATTCTGATGTGTATTAATAAAATAGAGAAAAAAGAAATCATACAATGTTATCTGATAAGCTTATTGAGGATCTATGAAACACTGAATTTATTAAGGAAAAGTTTCTCAATCAAGTATTTTGTATAAAAAATATATTAACACGCTACAAAGAATAAATTCCAACATTAACAAAAAGCAGTAAAAGCGACAAAGCACCCGATTCATGAGTGCGTATTGCTAAGAAGACCCAGGACAGTAAGATAAAGGATGCCAAGTGCTTTCTGATTCTGGAAATGGTTCTACCTGTAATCAAAACTACTTTTGAAAGGAACTAATAACATACAGATCGTTAAAATAATCAATTTTTATCAATCACTATTCGATTCGATTAGAAAACAATGAATGATAGAAAAATTATAAAATGGCGTAGTAGATTTAAACCGATTAGCTACTTTTCAATTTTATTAACTGGTTACTTCCGAAATTTCATATCTTAGATCATCTTATGTTTAAAATAACTTTTAAACGAATTAGTTTTTATAATTCATACTTCACATATAAAAGTATCGCTTTATAAACAAGAAATAGCTATGCTCTCCAGTTATTTGTATTACAAAAACCGTTCATTGAAGGTTCAATTTATTTTCAGTAGTGCTCAGTAGTGATCTCACGTTCATATACATATGTCATTCACTTACGTTCGAATTATTCCATGTATTCGGTCTTTTACTTGAAAATTCAACATCGATGTTATAAAACAGTTACTCTACAAAAATATCCTAATTATGATTGATTATAAATGACTGTTTTAAAACTATAAATAAGAAGCTGTTTATTGAAAAAAATCCTATCATATAGAGTATGACAAGAAAACTATTATAGCAAAAAAGAACTTACCATTATAGATTTTACTTCAGAATAAACACCAATATGACTTGAACTATTTGGTAGAAAAGAACTTAAATAATCTTCTTTATAATTTAACACATTGACAAGGTTACGTAAGGATTTACTAGAAGGGATATGAAAAAAAGTGTTGTAAAATAACGTTTAATGGACAAAACATTTTTCAACATGGAGAAGGACAATTTAATAAATTACATTATAAAACACAAGTAACGTCATTTCTTGAAACTGCATAGAATGGTACTTAAAGTTATTTATATAACTTCAATAAATGATATCGTCAAAAAGACCATTTTCTTTGCTACAATATTTTTATTTCTTTTTCAATGAGGTGCAGTGAGTTCCAAGAAAGAAAATACTAATTACTACAGTTTGTGCTCAGAGTACATAGCATTGATTGCAAAGTGTAAATCAGTGTAGTTTACATTCAAGTTAAGAACTGAATAGAATAAAAGTTATCATTGGTAACATCGGTAAAAACAATATGTCAAACTCATTTCAATTAACTCTCACACAACATTCATTAAATAAGAGGGTGGGGCGGAAGAAAAACATGTAAATTATGTTGAATAGAAAGGGGCTGATGTTGTAATTGCAGGTTAAGTAAGCGTGACACTGAACACATATTTCCTAAAACAACATCAATTTCAATATTATTTAATTAGTATGGCTCAAAACAAAAGGCGATGACTTTATTTAATTCATCGTCTTTCTTCCAACAGATTTTAATATCAGCAAGCATCACGAATCGAGGTAAACAGTGGTTGAATGTATGTAATGCATCAGTGATAATTAGATCGTTTAATGACATGGATGAATAATAGAGTTTGAAGTTGTTCACGACTAGTTGGGTTTATTTATGAGTGTGCATCGTTTGAAGAATTGTGATCTTAAGTGTTTGCTACATTTGACAGAAGCAAAAGGAGTATGAATATTTTAAAGAAAAAATCTCACAGGCACAGCCTCGTTTTTATGTTTGGGAAACCCTAAACACAAAAACTCCGAAAAGATTATTATTATTCGAAATATATTTATTACAATGACTTAGGAGATATTATTACTATGATTAAACAATTAACGCATCACGATAAATGTAAAATATCAAACTGAATATGAATATTTTGATGTACGTACGAAGAATAATTTGAGTTGGTTAAAAACACCAAAATTCATTACTCTTCCAATCGATAATAATTTCTTCTAACAATTTCGAATTTTCAGAAAGAGGTTTTGGGGAGATTTTGGTAATTTAATACTTGAAGTCATGAGTCAATTAAAGTTAGAACATCATGAGAAGCCTGGAAAAACTGTACGGCCGTTTCATCCTTATACGAGGCTCCTCAGCAGTGCGCATCCGCAATCCCGCTAACGGAACTAGAACTCAGGACATATCGGTCTCGCGCGTGAACGCTTAACCTCTACCGAACTGGCCGGCATCCGACGGTGTTGATGTCTAACTTCAATCAATCTACGAAATTGAGCCACCGCCCACCATTCTCTTCAGCGAGTTACTATCTCACAACAAACCTAGCTTCGAATTTCAACTCTTACAACATTTTACTCTCAAACAAAAATAAGTCAATTTTTTACACCAAACTAATCACACATTAAATTATCGTAAATAAAAAGTATAATTACAAAATGAAATACAATTCATCTGAAAGTGTGAATCTAACTATATAGAAAGATGACAATCTACACTACGTAATCACAAACACACACATATATAAACAACTCTTTCGCTAGAATACCAGTTAGTAAATAATCAGTAACCATAGTTTGTTTTCTAGCAAATAACATTTTCAGGCTGTGGGTGGTATGACTAAATCATAATATTTCTCAATATAAATATTGAGTGATACATGAAACATGTGACGATATGCAGACAAACAAATACACATCCCTACAACCTAGAATCTGTTTACATTGTTCTACACTCACACAAAAGCAAATATAAAATTTTAAGTTTAGTCTATTGATTTTATTGACCTATAAGTTTCATAACCTGATTAACATGTCACCATGTCATACAGTGAGCATAATAGATAAAGATGTGAAACTTTGCAGAAAACACGATACCGGTAGTAAGGACAGAATGCTGACTAGATTGAGATATACAAATATTAAAAGAAAACTCTCAAAACGAAACTGGAACAGCTTAATGAATCATGATTTCAGAAAACTAACTTTTATTAAATTAAGATGCATGTTTCAAAGGTAGTTTGCCGAAGTTATTAAGTTACATTTATCCTGTATGATACGGTCCGATCATAACTAAAGTCTTCTCAATAATCTCACTTGGAAAACGAAAGCGATTCGTGACAAAATACGTTTAAAATCATAAAATTATTTTTTAGTGTCTGCATTGTATTAAATAATGTTTCAATAATTAGTTCCTAATAGCAATTAGCAAGTACACGAATGTACTGTGAATTCCGAACTTATTCTAAGTAGTATTATTGTTTTAAGGTCGACTCACGTTGAGGTGAGAACTTTTTGTAAATTCACTAATAGTTCAAAGAAAAATATACTTTTATGGTATGTAAATGTTCACAGGAATTAATACTTGAAATTTTTGACACTTTTACCAACGTATATTCAATGATAACTAAAATAATTATCATATTAAAAAACAGAACCAATAAATTATCATTACTACTTACACTGAAGATTGTTCTAAGAAATTTATAAGTTTTTTAAGACTAGCTGATGATCGATGATAAGGTGCGAACCAACTCCAATTCGGTGCATATTCAATTGGAGTAGTAGATAAATTATGATTTAATACAAACGATGATCCATTACGTTTGAATCGACGAATACTTCGTAAATCTGTTTAACAAAGAATTTTTAACATCAGTATAGGGTTTTGTAGAGATTATAGGACTGTAATGGGTTTTAAGTCACCAAATGATCTTGGTTAGACTGCCAGTGGAAGTCTGAAAATATCAGATAGCCGTTTCGACCTACTATGGGACTCCTCGACAGTACGCATCCATGACCGTACACTCTGGAATAGAAACCAGGACCTTCAGCTTCGCGAGCGAACGCTTAACCCCTATAGGATTGATTCGGAATCCAACAGCATTAACGTCTAACTTCAACCAATAGACGACATTATGCGACCATCTTCTATTGCTTGAGGTGTAAACGATTAAACTTCACTGGTTGTGGATGTCCACTTCTGAGGAGACCCATACTAGAATGAAACGACCATCCAGTGTTTCAATACTTTCAATGACAGGCCTATTGAAATCAGTTTGTAATCTATAATCTGTGTAAAATGTTTAAATTCAAAATAAACAACGCAAAGTAAGAAAAATTTAATCATGTTGAAGAAAACAAACGTGCTAAATTATTTGAGGATAAATCATTCGAAGAAATGACATCATTTGAATATAAGATAACTACTAAAGCGTAACAATTAATCTGTTAATTAGGATATTCATGAATTCAAATGCTGAGTTGAACAGAGAAATAACTTTTAAGTGCTATTATAAACAGGATATCATACTGATAACCTATCAAATATGATTATAACTATATGTACAAGGCAGCCTGGTTGAATATCTGGGCTACGCATTCCTGTCATCTGGATATTTCAGAAAGTTATCTGCTTTCTTGTTTGTTTTAACACTTTATTATGCCTATTAGTCTCATAACCTATTCAGGTGCGTTTCTGAAACGTTTATGACATTTTGCTGTACAAGCTACAAAGATCACAATCACAGACATCGTGGTTGCTGGAAATATGCATCGAAAAGAATATACATTATTCAGATGTCGATTCCTGAACTGCTAACATCTAACTAACGACCACTCTATATTTATCGCAAGGGTCCGTCAAGAAATAAGAAAAGGAAACTTGTTGAAATACTTTAAGCTGAGAATTCTATATTGTAACAAAAATATAATATTGAATCAAGCCACTAATAGTAATATGATGTATTATAACTGTATTAATCAGTCAAATAGAAATATTTATTTCATTTGGACACTATGAAAAATGAAATCCAAAAAAGAGTCTTAATTGTATCAACTTAGAAATGTATAAATAACTTGAATATATTTTTGTAAAACATCTTTAAAATAAAGAAATTCTATGGTGGTTAACAATAATTTACTAATTTAATCAATTAAAAAAACGCTGAACATGAATACTACAGATGCAGATATACTCTAACATTCATACATTATGAAGGTAGGCATACTTGAAAAAGTCTGCTTAAAATATGGTGGTACCTTAAATGAGATTAATCTGTGACGAATATCAACTGCAAATCAAATATCCATAAATTGCCATTAAGGAAAATACATATATATCTATGAAGATTTTAATAAGTAATTACCTCGATTTTCATATAATTTTCGCTGTGTTTGATACATTTGACTGAGTGTGTCATATAAATGAGAAAATTCACCGTTTTGAGCAACTGAATCCAACAGACAAAATAAACCAGGGAACATTGTATTATTACATACATCATTATTAGTTGTAGTTAGATTTTTAATTGGAAAAGAATCTGGAGTCTAAATGAAAAAATAAAAACAAAAGAAATTTAGCAAAATCATCAACCATTAAAACTTCCATATGTTACAATTAATCCCTCGATATTCTGTATGTGACGAATATTATGTGGTAATTAAGTACTTGTTAATATACTGAAAAGCAAGGTACTAATAAATAAATAATTGATTAAATTACTAAAAAGGAATAGATATACATGCATTATAATTTGAATGACATAAATTATATGGTGTGGTGTAAAAATGAAAGTTTAAACATCTCTACTACCGCTTATACTTACAATCATCATGCACTTATAACTAAGAAACATAGAGAGGTAACTCGTGCTAATGGGTGATGGCACGCTAATATCATAAATTAACTAAAGTTGGAAAGGTAAACCGCTACAAGTCAACATAAGGGTTTAAAGGTTAAGTGTTCACCGTAATGTCTTCAGGTTCTGGGTTCGCTCCTTGGAGAAATCATGGATGCGTACGGCTGATAAGTCACATACTACGATGAAACAGCCATCTTTTTTTCCATGATTTTCAATAGTTATCCAACGAAAATTAGCGTAGGAAGTGGATCATCAAATATTTTGTGATAGTCACATACGTTCAACAGTATCTAAACATAAAGATGGGGGGACCTTACAAATAAAGATTAAATACTTTTCACCGACATTATAACACAACCTCAATAACCTTTGAAAATTTAGAGACAATTTGCGAATTATTATGACAACATTCATTTATACGCCTACTTCCATATGAATAATTAACTGAATTGAATGCCGAAAATTTGACGTGTTCTACGTGAATCAATTAAAAAGTTCACAGCTCCCATCATGAATAACTATACATACATACTTCCTGTTGATCGAAATAATCAATTCATGAGTTTTAGATAATAGATATTAAAAATACAAGGAACCACTACTAATTTTAACGTATCAACATAACACAGTTAAAATATTCTCCATTTAAAGAAATCTTATAATTAAGATCAATAATCTTAAAGTTAAAAACAAAACTTTTAGTACATAAACTATCAATGTTATGTAGAGATATTAAACTGTTTTCTATTTAGACGACAATTCGTGAACTGTAATAACATTTCATGAAAATTTATTGGCGTAATATTTTGGAATAAAGAAGTGTTATTTTAATAGAAGAAAAAATAGATAACAACGAGCTCAATTAAATGTTCATTTTCCAATACCAAATCAGAAGTGTCTAAACATGTTTTAGTAAGACTGTTTTTATTCTGTAAATAACAGTAAATTGCTCTTCTTTTAAATTAGGTGATTTTAACATTTTAGTGACTTTGCAAATTAAAATTCAATTACATAATTTAAACTGATACATAAAACCATCAGAACGATCAGCAGAATTTCTATTCGTTCCTTCGTACACTTCATCTAACATCATACACTAAGGTAGGTGATAATGAAAACCATAATGATGATTGCCTATTTAAGGTGGAAATTACTAGTTTAATCATTTAACATATTCTTCAGTCAATGAATACAGAGACCGACTGTGATTGAAACATAAATTAGAACAGAATAAACATAGAAAACTAAACAGTAAAACTATTTTACTTATTATTTTATTACTGAACGAGTACATACTGTTGAAATTTTATTATGTAGTATTTGAAACCCAAAAAAAGTGCTTACATTAAACAAAACTAAATCTTATACAGATTACCTGACCTCTCCCCTTATTTAAAAACATAATTAATAGAAAATATACCCCAAGTGACCAACCAATTAAACATAAACTATATTGATTATCTCTAAAAAAAATAAAGTAAATCAATAATCAAGTGAATATAAACTTTTTCATTGTCATCAATTACATTTACTTCAAAAGAAAAAGAAAATTAATTTATTGAAATACAACGCTGAAAATGATTTTTGTTTAGTTCTTTTTTTTGTTTTTCTTAGAAACAAAATTTTGTTTATCATAAATAGTTCGTTTTTAGTTAGAAAAAGAAAAGAATTGATACAAATGGAATGAATAAATGAATGAAGAAAAACAAAATAAAAAACTTTCACATCTATCATAATCATTTTTATGTTAGTTATAACAATAAAAGATTATAGAAACATTTTTGAAAAAAAAATTATTTAACATTGAATATAAGTTTATTTAATTTCCATTACTTTTTGCCGGTACTTTTGAAGAACATTCCACAGAATATGTCGTCACTGAAATATGTTTTAAATAATGACATTTTAATAAATGAAATAATACATGACGAAATTTTTTAATACGTACAGCATAAATGAAAATATTACATGATGCTTGAATAAATATTAAATGCCAAAAAATATCAGCAATATTATAAACAAGTCGAAGTGGTCCACGTAATTCATTTGGATCAGTTAATATTGATGGTAAAATAAATGAAATAATATAAGCAACACTTTGTGGTAATGATGCAATTAATGTAGTTACACATAATATAACTAAAACAATTGATGCAGATAATTCTTTTCTCTCTTCTAAATTATTAATAAATTTACGTCGATTATTTAATAATTTACGTAATTTGATCATAAATGCAATATTAAGACCGATCACAAATAAAAATTGGATTAAACAAGAATCTGATGCAAAAGCATGATATATATTCAAGAATAAATCATTATAATTTAACCAACAAATTAATAAATTATTTGATAAATGCCAACCAACTACTATACCGTATGGTAACACTAATAAACAACTAATAATAATAATTAAACCAATTAAATACCATGCATAACGTTGTGGTATTTTACTATATTTCACAGGCATATAAACACATAAACAACGATCTATAGCCATTAACAATAATAAATTACCACCAAGTGTACATGAGAATGAATATGCAAATCTATGAAAACGACATAGATTTTCTGAAATATTAAATGTAAAAAGATATACATTTCCTAATGTAGCATATGGTAAACCTTTTGATGGAAATACCCATAACCAACCGAATAATATTTGTGTCAGTGCATCGGTTATCGCTAAAGCACCCATATAAATCATTTGTCTTGATGAATTTGGAATTAGACAGATAAATATTACTGCTATCAATATATTACTGATAATACCAAATGTAGAATAAATTGGGAATATATATGCAGATAGAAATCCTAATATACTTGATGTAATGCACATCACATAATCATTGGATTGACCACTGTAGAAATTTTCACAATCTTCAAGCAAATCCCATGGTGAATCAACAAATAACCAATCTGATCGATTAACCATTTGTTAAACTAAAAATGATGATGATTAAGAGCAGACTTCAAATTTTATCCGACTTATATAATAAAAATTTATCCTATTTTTTTCTTCCAAAAATAAGTTGAAGACATTCCGCAGGTAGCATCAAAACGTCGTTAATTTGAGAAGGAAATAATTGGAACCTAATCTCGAGTTTAAAAAATAACCAAGCATATGTCATATATATATATATATATATATATATATATATATATATATATATATATATATATTACCCACCCATTCTCCGAATATTTACTTGGTAAGTAATGCAGAAAATAAGGGTCATTACATATAGTGAAACACAAATATAATCCATTCAACCCCCCTGTCAAAATCTTTTTGTCATTTGATCTTCAACAAAGGTGAGGAATACAATTGAGAAGCTCAAAAATAAAAAAAATTACGCCCTATGTAACAAACTGATATACAATATTGCACACGTGGACTTTTATCTATATATGTATAGTTGATATTTATAAAACAATCCTCTTATTCATAAACAAGTACACACGTATACACACATGGAGATTCAAAAAGATAGTAATAATACTAAAAATACAATTAAAGTACAAACTGGGGACGTATTGAATTCGGAACAGTTAAATCGTAAACAAATGTTTAAATTAGAAAATAAATCATAAGTTAAGGCCAACAGTAATTTTATTGATAACAATAAATAAGCGCGCATATCTATACATGCATGTATTTGCCTGTAAGGGGATTGGTTGGCGGTAGCCAGTTGAGTGGGGTAAATAACACGGGATTATCCAATAATTTCATTAAAATCGAATCATTCACTATTTACAACACATCATAAAACTAGTACGAGAGAGGAGAGAGAACACAGTGAACTACCATATGTATGCTTTAAATAATAAATTACGTTTCAATGAAACAGAATTATGATGAAACATGAATGACGATAGTAACAGCGATAAATAAAATGACACCATTTTAAATAACAATAAGAAACGAAGAAAAGCGATAACTAATAAAGTTGAATCGCCATTATTTCACAAGTTATATATGTATAGAATGAAAAAAGATTCAACCATTCCATATGAATGATAAAAGTTATTTTAAAAAGAAATTTATACTAAATTATGAATGGAGCCGAAAAAAAATCAAAAATAGTGTAATAGGTTTTAGGTCAAATAACAATTGTTTTTCTTATATGTTTTTCAAGGACAAAGACTTCAATCGTCAATTATATTCATTAATGAAAACAGTAATAATAATAATAATCGTCATGGGTAGAAGAGAAAAATTTAAGTCAATTATAGAAAATAATAATAACTATCACTGAATAAATAGATTATAATGTACGGACGATAAGAGATTGATTACTAAAATTCCCTGAAAAACAATGTACATATTCCAATATTTTTTCATAGTCTTGTAATAATACAGCTGAACAGAACAATACTGACAACATTATACGATTATTAAACAAATGTACTATGAATAAGAAAAACAATTACATAATACATTCATTTTTATGTACTTATTATTTTAGAAGTTTGTGAAGATTGATGAATTTCTTTATTTCCAATGAAAAACAGATCTTAGAAAGATAACTATTGAAAATATACAAGGTAAAACATGGTGCACTATTGAATATTGATTACATTTAGAAATGTAAACCAATGGGTATCATTTCAGTAGTCTGAAGGGTAAGCACTCAGCGATAGGCTTTATATGTTTTGGGCTTCAGTACATGGTGAGATAGTTCATGAGTATACACTGCTATGGAGTTTCATATTAGTTGTCCATTATAAGTTTTTAATGGCTTTTTTAACGAAAGTCAATTCGTGATGTAAAACATACAGAAAAAATCTCAAGCAAATGACCTACCTCAGACAGTGTAGTATTGTCAATAAAATTTAAAATATTCTTTGTACGACAAAAATTTTCATATGGAATAGGTGAAGTTAGACCATCCTAACAAAAAAAAGAAAGAGAAAAGAAATTATTTAGTAAGGAATTTTTGTCGAAGGAAATAGCAAGCAAGGAAAAACATTGAAGACAATCGTATGAAGTTTCGGTAAATTTTTTTGTTGTGGCTAACACTGGTATTCAGGATTCGTGTTACACCTAATTGCGAAAATAGGATGTACTTAAACTTGCACCAATATTTACACTATTAAGCAAGACCAGCGTAATAAATGAGGCCTTGATTAGCAAAACAATTTAATGTGTAGTGCAGATCACACTGTATTTGTAAAATATGGAAGCGATACATTAAATACTCCACATGCAACTTTTCCTTTAGTTGTCTCTTACGAACTCCAGCGCTTCTTCTTTCCTGTTTTTATTTTGATTGCTTTCTGGATCCCTTTCTCTTCACTTTCCTCTTATGTACGTAAGAATTCTACTTTCGATTCCTGACACACTTATATTTGCCTGTACAAGTAGAGGGTGATGAAATGTAGTCTTGAATATCAATAACAGGAAAACATAAACACTAACTAATAATTAAACGAAATGCTTCAGAATACTTCAGTTCATAAATCTGAGTGTCAATTTAGGAGGATTGAAAAAGGATAATCAGTTCGAAGAATAGTAAAATTCAATTATGACATATATCAGCAAACTACTTAAACTTCATACACATAAATTTTAGTCATTCAAACGGATGTAACTTAGAACTTAGCACATATGTTCATTGGTGCAAGTTTCTGCAACTCATCCGTACAACTAGATTCCAGAGTAGTATGAGTAAACAATATGAGGTATAGACAATAAGATTCAAGAAGACAAAATAGATTCGTAGCATTAAAAACATTTTTATAGTAAATAAGAGACCTAGAATCTAAGGAAAGACAAAGAGTAAATGTACCTGCGCCACTGATAACGATTATGATCTATGTCACCCAGGGTTTCTGATCATTAGTTAAGATAGCCCTGCGAATCACAACCAGGTGGTCAACACTTACACATATGAATCAGTTCAACAGTCAAGGACTTCATGGACTGATACCAGGTTTTCATTTAACTACTCCTAGCTTACTTTTAACCTACTGCTGCACTACCCAGCATCGTTCGTCGAAGGTAGGTGGTGGTAGAGCATATACTACACATTTCCCTGTCACATCAGTCGACGAAAATTCTCTAACTCATTAAGCTATTTGTCATTTTCTCCTAGTACTCGATGCTTAATGTCAGCATTTTTCATTCGGTGATCCCAGAATACACAACTAACACATCGATCAAATATCCTTTATTTTCAACAAATACATTCCCAAGCCACTATATATATCCATATATATAAACGAGTTCTGGATATCTAAGAAAATTAATAAGGTGTGTTATAGGATTTAATTATTCCACACAAACCTGAAAATATTACGAAAAAAATTGTTGCTTAAAAGGTATCGCTATTATAAAGAGTTTTATGAAACCCCTTCTTACCTTTGTACTAAAATATAAGACATCGAAGTTTGACTTTTGATAATTTACAATCCGTTTTAAATTTTCAGATATCATTAATCCCAAGAATACTGATTTTTTGGTAATAGATTGATTGATCTCAGACTTACAAGAATGGAAAACGATCAAAACGTAATACAATAAAGACTAGCTTAGTTTACCATTAAAAACAACGCGTTTGTTCTTAAAGTGCGATTCATGTATTGTTAGGGATTTCATGAATTGTTGATCTACCAAGGTTAATACAACTCTCAAGGCAAGTGAAAGAGTAAAGAATCTAACATATTTGGCTTATGAGAAGCTAGCGATCGTAAAAACTTGGATAAATTATTTCCTTTATTAAATGGAAAATGAAATTCCATAGGCTAAAGCGTTTTGTACGTCCTGAAGATTATGAATTGGTAAATGCCCCAAATTTTCAAAAAGTAAACGTTGTGAACTAGCAAAATATAGACTTAAAATGTTATTTCTTCTCACTTATTAGTTTATGAAGTCTAAATTACTTAGGACGAAGATGGTTCAGCAATATCATGAATCGATTGAAGTTCAAAAAATAGCACACTGGATGCCGATTCCGTTGTCTAAAACCAAAGTGTTTGCCTCTATGCTTGAAAAACTTTGGTTCGATCTCTGATCAGATCGTGATGTTTACTGTTGAGAAGTCTTACAATAGAACGAAAGAACTGTCTAGTGCTTCCTGACTATCAATGACTGTTCGGCTAAAATTAGTTTGTGACGCAAACCACAAGAAATAGAAACTGTGGAATATTCTGTAATCTAATATTCTAATCAACGGAATTAATGTTCCCACTCAAAGCATTTGGACATCAGGCCAGAGCAAGTAGCGTAAACACAAACTTAAAATCAATCGTTTCTGATGGTCAACACAATTAATTATCATCCCATTAGAATAATTAAAATTTATTCTATCACCTACATGTTTCAAACGTTGTTCATCCAGCAGAATATTACTATCAAAATAAAGTTGATTAAAGCATTCATAAGCATAATTAAAAATTAAATCGGTGAAATTTCCAGTTTTATGCATCTCATTACTTTCCGATGATAGTTTTGCTGTTGGTGGTGATATTGATGAAGATGGTGATACAATCGATGTTTTAGAATATGGTATTTGAAATCCAACTGGATCAACTAGAATTAATTGAGCTACAACATTAAATTGACTAGATAAATCTGATTTCGGTGTAGACAAACAACTAGAAGAGAAAAACAAATTAATTAAGTAAAATTAATGAGACGTTAATAGTAATAAATGATAGCTTTATTCAATGCTATGAACCTCAACAGTATACAAGTTTGTGGAGGTTTTTAACCATTTATATCACGAACTACCTGCTCCGGTCTGGGCACCCGAGCAGTATCACAGCCCTCACACAAATCGAATGACTTATGTGGCGCATATCTACTTGGTGCCTCCTTGTACCAATGTTTATGTGTTTAAATAAATAAATATCACGAACCGACCTTATTTGGACATCCAGTGAAAAGTGAAAAGCAGTGGACACCAGTTTCATCTTCGTACGGGACTTCTCAGTAGTACACATCTACCACCCAACCACAAGGAATTGAACCCAGGACATTTAGTTCATCGTACGAGAGCCTTATCTCCAGACCAATCGACCGAGATTATGTGGTCTATAAGTCTAACTTCAACAATTTCGCAATACTTCGTGATCATTTTCGATATTTCTTGCCAGGTAACCGCCTCACATATTTGAATACCACTAGACAATGCTTCTTACGAGAAATCAGAAAAATATCTCTCAAAATTAGCCACCAGTGAGGGTATTCTAGAGATTAAGTGCTTGATTGCGAAACCAAAGGTATTGGGTTCAATGACCGGTGGAATCGTAAATGCGCACGACCGAAAAGTGCTATAGTGAAATGAAGTATCTGTTAGTGCATGTTGGTTTTTAATGGATTTCGAAATTAGGTTAGTTCGTGATATCAATAATTATAAAATTTGCTACATTAACCAACTCTCAGTAGCGAGTGTGCAATGTTGCTCCAAACGTAATAAATAATATAGACAAAATAGACTAGTGGTACATACAAATATATTGCAGTTAAACTGAACGCAATTTATTAAAGCAAAGTTTAAAAGTTTGCAAGAGTTATGCACTTTATCCTAACGAATTAGATATTTACTACCAAATTTACTAGATGACTTTAAGCAACTCTAGTGGATATTGGAATTTAGCAATTGAACACCTAAAGGCAATGCCAAATCAGTAAAAATTGGAATCAGTGAATATTTTTGTAAGATAAATTCACAATTTGTGTCTTTACTTGATCTCGTTTTCCTGAGGTGAAAATAAACTTTTGAAAAAGCGTCATGTTCATGCAATTTATTCTTTATAAAATATTCCTTTCTGCGATAACACGCATCAAGCCTTATTCAGAATTTTAGACTGAGTTCAAACTTGGACAGTGACTTCGAAGATATATTCACTTTTTCTGAGATTTTATGAATCAGCTTACACTATTTTTCCTATGAGTAACTCGATTTTCTCAATTGTGAGTGTTATATTCAAAATCACCTACCTAGCACTCACTGTAATGGTTTGACAAAAATAAAAAAGTCCTCTACCAACTAAGTTGTTACATATACCCTTCATTTATCATATATATATATATATATATATATATATATATATATATATAATTTAATGTATCTGTCCCTCGTTTTTAAAAGTGTACACGCGAAAGAAAGTATACCAGTAATGGTAGTGATTATGTATGAGACTTCTAGTACTTAGCATCGCAACAAGTTCTAAGACTTTTATATTAAAGGGTAATTATGTACAGTTAACACACGTAGATATTCAGTTCAAACAAATGTAAAACAGGAATATTAATTGCAAAATTTACACAGTTGAAAAGGTGGCCTGGATATTCGACGAGGTCGCCGAAACCATTATTTTCTATATTAAATTATTATATTCACAAAAGACTATATATGAATAAATCCACAGCTAGTTATGACAACAGAACAATTGACTTGATATAAACTATTGGAATAATCCCAGTGACTAAACTAATAATTTATTCACAGAACGGATTTCACCAGTCACAATCCAATCAGTATGTGAATATAGAAATATTGAGGGAAATTAGGCCAATTCGCTTGCAAGAGATGACAAATAACTTAGCAATACATACAAAAAGGAATCCTTAGTATAAAATAAACAATTCTTAACAATTTTTTAAAGCGTAACAATAATGTTTTAAATAATGTAATTATGCATAATTTGATTGATCTCTACTATTGTTAACCGTCACAACAACTACTTTATGACAAATATCAACAACTTTTTCTATGTAAGTATATCATATCATTTATTTATAAGTACCTTATTTTTACTAGAAAATAATTCTCGTGCTTTGTTGGAATATATAGCGAAATCAATTGAAAATTGTTGACTGACATCTTACTAAACAATAAACTAACTAGGAATCATAGAATTTAATGCAAATACGCTACTCAGGTTTAGGTACTGAACAAAATACTTAGACTTTTAACACCAGCCAATTCCCTAGTTTAATATATGTGGATAGATCTCAAACTCGAGGTCGTTAAAATGCGTGTCAAATATATAGACTAAGCAAATGTTATGAAAGTATGAATTGAGGTACTCATACAAAGAATGCCACCATTAACAAAATCTTTTTAATTCTTGAGATTACATCCATAAAATATGCCGGTAATTCAGGATAGTAACACCAAGTGAATGATCGTCACAGTACCCGAATACGCATTGCTGAACCTCTGCATTAATAACACGATGTTGCTATTGAATGTCGTCGATCCTTCGGAGAAACCAATGATTGAACACAGAAAGTCATCTGACACTGTCAGCTCTGAGGGATTAGGTTTCGAAATTATGGAGCAGAACCACTCTCACAGAATCATTGCAAACCCAACCCATTACATACAAACTAACATCATGATGGTGTTAAAGATTGGCATAAGCTTCTCTGGTTTTCAATATATATAAGTTGATGACATCTGCCACACCACGACTAGCAATCATATATCTACCCAGATAAAAGATTTTTTGAACTACTTCTATAAGATCACTACAAGAAGTGCCAGCACAAACTCCTGAGTCATGTAAAAGCACCTGGCATTTAAAACGTTAAAAATACATCCCATGTTCATGGACACTATCTACCAAATTATGGAGTGCGATTTTTACAGCTCGTGTATGATCGCACGGTGAGACAATATCAGGGTCGGAAAGTATTTATCCAGGTGACAGATCACCTACTTCCATCAAGCTGTTTTGCAAATGTTATCAATGACAAGAATAAAGAGAAATGATGATATATGAAACAACCTTGCTTAACTCTACTGTTGAACCGTAACAATAGAAAAATGTCTGTGAATACTTACTCTATCTCAAACGTTTGTGAACAGACCCCTTAAAGTGTTAATCAACTTCTAATTCACAAAACTGATCATGAGGCAATCAGAGAATATAATCCTACCCAATAAATCAAAGATTGTCATATAAATAAACCAATTGTTGATCTATGTGTTTAAATTTTCCTCAGCAACACATGGTAAACAATAAACTTATAATCATCCATAAATCTCTGCTATTATTACAGTTTTCATTTGTAAATTTATATTTGTACAATAACAAAATTGTGTATAACAAAGTGATAATTCTACTTAAGCTATTTATTTACTTTGATCATTCACTTTCCATATAAAATCAAAGCCGTCAAGTTGGCAATACAATTTCCTTATTAATATTACCTAAAACTAATGAAATAATAATTATTGGAAATATCCGGTTACGTAAAATATTATTAAATATTTTTCAAAAAAAATAAAAAATAAAAAATCTATTTCATATAAACAAATAAACATACCGATTAATTAAACTAATTAATATATCAATAATCATATTGTAAAGATCTTGTACAAATGCATGTAAACAATTTTTAGCAGTCCATTTTATACAATATTGATTATCATTAATATTCTCAATATGATGATGATGATAATAATAATGATTTGTTGTTGGTTTACGAAGTACTGGATAAAAAATAAGTTCATTTAAAGTATCCAATGAACAATGTAGTAAATAAGCAGCATATTGAGCTGATTGATAATTTGTAAAATATAATAAATTTTTTTCATTTAATTCATTACAATATCCAGCACAGCCTAAATGATAAATTACAGCTAATAAACGTGTTATTCCCCCTGTTAACCATTCATTTTTTATATCAAATTGTAATAATTCAGCATCATGACATAATTGTTGCCAAAATTTTTTAGCTGATATTTTATCTTCAGGCTAAATTTTATTTTATTTATTATTTAAAAAAAAAGCAAAACAGTATTATTAGTATGGGGATTTGTGGAGATTGTAGTATTTTAACAGTTGAATTTATATGTCGATCAAAACTAGACCACCATCGAAAATCTGAAAGCACTGGACGACCGTTTCGTCCTAGTATGGGACTCCTCAGCAGTGTGCATCCACGATCTCGCACAGGGGACTGGAATGAATAAATTTATGATATTAGTTAATTATATCAGTTGAGATTAACATTATTAAAAGTAAAATATCGACCATTGAAATATGATCAGGAATCTTAAAAATTACAACAATAAAGAAGAGATGAGGAAAGAATAACACATTAGTTAGAACCTTAGTTGCATATTAACGATATACCTATATTTCCAATGTTCCAATCTTACTAAAGTCGATATTACATATTTAAGTAAACTTAGCAATGACGCGTTTGATCACTTTAATTAGTAAAATTTCACATCCAGGTAGACTAATTCATTTTCACTTGAAAATCTTAACTTTAAACTATTGTTCAGTTGCGAAGTAGGTTCATTAATCAACTATAATCATTAATTAATTAATATATAATTAACTGTTATTTATTAAATTTCAACAAATCAATTATAGATAAAGAGATTGTCAATCTCTACAGAAAAGTTAATTACTTAATATGACCTGAAAATTCTAACGTCGATCAATAATCCAGTCAACTTATGGTATGAACTGGAAGTTCAGTCCCTAAATAAACAAAATAAATATAGTTATCAGTATAGGGTTATGGAAATTAATAACAATGAATGGATCGGTGCTAGACCACCATTGAAAACCTAGAAGCACTGGACGGCCGTTCCACCCCAGTGTGGAACTCCTCAGCAATACGCAGTGTGGGATCCTGGATGTGCACCGCTGAGGAGTACCATGCATACTGGGGCGAAAAGGCCGTCCAGTGCTTCAAGGTTTTCAATGGTGGTCTAGCACTGATTCATTCATGATATCAATCTAAAAATAAATATACATAAAGTTTCTTTTAAAATAAATTAGTTTAAATTTATTTTCCTACAAAACAAGATTTTTATTCAATTGTTGCTTAATCCTTCAATGCAGAGGAAGTTAACGGCGACAATTCAGTGATCAGTGAAGGTAAACAATGTAGTGAATTTTAGATGAAGTTTAACCAGCTTATTTCATGCTTATCTCAATGTAATGATTATATAAATAGTATAATTATCACCAAAGACATACTGACTAAATTCAGTAATCAATTTTAATAATTGGAATTTTAATTTTTTTAAGGTTTATTTCAATGAAAATATTTGTATAGTTTTGAAATGATTATTGTTACACAATGATATTAGTTAAGTGATATTAAAAGCCATGGAAAAGCATCGGACAATTGTTCCGACTAAGTTTAAAACTCCCCTGATCAGTTTACATAAATTCACATAGGATAAATGGTGGGTCAATGGTTAAGGCGTTTATTTCTCAGCTACAAAACCATGGGTTCGAACCCAGCCTCATCTACTTTGTTTTGAGCAACCAGTCATTCGCAAAACATACATAGATACAATGTTGCTTAGAATACAATTACATCAATCTGTATCTGGCAAATGAGTTAGTTAGTGTCCAGGAATCTACCTGAATACTGAATAAATACTTATATTATCCGAAGTAATTAAAAAAAATCAAAGACGATTCTTAAAATCTAAAAAAATTTTGATTTCTAAAAACTACATATAATTTACTGAAAAGTAAATAATTTATAAATTATTGAGATCATATGACTACTACTACTACTACTACTACTTGTGAAGTGTTTTTAAATGATGATCGTTTACAAAGTTCATATCAAAAGATACATTGATGACTAAAATGAAAGTTTATTTTGCGTTCATGTAATAATAAAGTTTTTCTTTGAAACAGATAAATGACTATTATAGACAGGAATGATAATTGAAACAATTAGTCCCTTTGATAAATTTCGATAATGCAATGAGAAGACGAAGATTATCAGAACTATGTGATATATTAGCGCAATACATTTCGAACAATCTGGTCTAGTTGACCTTTTATTTTTATATATAAATGCTCTTAACAAGTATATGTGTGACCAGATTGTTCGAAATGTATTGCGCTAATATATCACATAGTTCTGATAATCTTCGTCTTCTCATTGCATTATCGAAATGATAATTGAATTTTCACAGCAAATAAATCCTTGATTGTACGAGCTTTGAGCCAATTACCAAGAGATAAATTGACTCATTATAATCCATAAACTGAAAAGTAAGAGCCAACTATCAATTACGCTTCAAGTTCAAGTCATATTCAACTGTTACATGAACACATGCAATACATGATTAAGTGAATCCTTTCATATTAGTTCCCTACAAATCCACATCGTAGAGTACTGATAACATCCTACTTCTTTTTTAGTTTCTACATCTGTACTAACAAATCAATCGATCAACGAAGATCATTCTTGGATAGTTCCTAATTAAAATCAGATAAATCCATTTTAATGAAGTTTTTTTTCTTTTTACTAATCCATGTGAGTATTTAGATAATCAAAGTTTTTAAAGTAAGCAAGCAAAAATCGGACAGCGATACTGACAACAATAATATCAACATAATAATTGTTATGCAGAAGACGATAAATAAGTGAAAATAATGCTGCCAAAACAAACGCACATAAACAAACACACAGATGTCAATCATATAGAAACAAGACAAAATAACAATAGATCTGCATATTATTCAAATAAAACACATTTCTATAACAGAAAAACTATGTATATGTTGGATATAAATACTCACCGTACAAATAACATTCATTTGTGTATAATATATAAATTGTTTTTAGTCATTTAAATGTGAAATACAATTCATAATACTATTAGTTACTGTCATCCTCATATTTGTCATCAAATGGATATGCAGGTAAGTGGTCTTAATCATGACATCACTAAACTGAAAACTAAAATGTAATCCTTTAAAAAAATGTCGATGAGTACACAACAATGTCGTAATAACATTAATATTTTACTGTATACAAAGGATTAGTAATTAAATTAAAATGAAATACGTAAAGAACAGAGAAAGAGAGAAATTCATAAAGGATGAAAAGAGAAAAACATGTAGGACTGATAAAGTGTTAAGACCAAAACAGTATTATGAAGTACGTTAGTAGATCAATCATTTAATCACTTATGAACAATTTAGAATCTGACATATATATGAATCAATTTAAGTTACCACCCCGCACCATATCAGCATAAAGAGATGAAATTAACAATAAAAATTGTAGAGTGATTGAAGTAGCAACAGTATCAGTAATAACCCGAATGATCATGGTGTAAACAGTAGGATTCAAAAATAAACACTCAATTCATAGATTGCAAAGTATAAGATAATGTCAAAACTCAAAATCTAAGCGAAAGGAATGTACGAATTCATCTATGTCACGTTAGGTAAATATTGGGCAAAAGTAATGTGTTTTAATCACCTCAATCGATGAAAATTTATCATATTATCAACTAATTCGCCATTTGTGTGCAGCAGTTTGCATTTATCTTCAACATTGTTCCCTCAGTCGTCCAAGTAAACGCGAGCAATGCTTCGAAGGTATCCATGATCGAATATAAGTAACTTACGAATGTCCTTTATTTTAAAGGCCACATTTCAAAGTAGAACAGAACAAACTGCTGATCAATGTACTCATCGTTTGTTTGGTAGGTCGACATTTCATTTATGCTATAGGTGACTTAAGTTAGAATAGTCAATAAATCTTTCAGAATTCGTGACAAGATTTCCTCATGATATGATCACTGACTGATATGAAGTCATAAACCATATACTGAATAGCAAGGTATGACTGCAATTTTGAGATAATTGGGGTTCTAGAAAAACCAAACCCGTCTACACTCAGTACTGCAGTCAGAGAATTGGCATGTAATAATCTTAGGATAAAAGATATTGAAAAGGTCAATTCAATTTTCTTAGAAATGATTTATTTGACAAACTGATTCTGAAGATAATGTTGTGCTGTAAAATTAGGTCCTCTCTGATTATGTATTTTGTTCGCATTTCACGGTTCGAATTACTAATAACTCAGTGATATTTGCTAAACCAAAATAATTTATGAACTTCATGTTCTTAAATGATGAAACCCTACATAATTAAAATGCTACCTTCACTTTTTATCACCTTGACTACGCCTTTAAATTAACTTTTATTCTGTAATTGTTTTCAGAATATAAATATATTTAATCACTTAGAAAAAATAATGTCAATTTAAGTAATCAAAATACAGTTACTTACACGATGTAAACGAGTCATAAACAAGTTTGGCACATCCAGATCAGTTAGAAATAATTCGCGTCTGAAATGAACAATAAGACACAAATCAAATTCGAAACATTTTGAACAATAAAAAACATATGTAATACGTTAATGATCTCAACAATTACCGTTCAACTCTTAAGCTGAAGATGTAACTACTGAGTTAATAAATTACATTTCTGGACAACAACTGATATCTGTTCAATAGAAAACATGTGAAAAACGTCGAACGGATATCACTAATTCACTGTTAACTAGCAGAAAAATACTAAAAAATACAGAATGTTGAACCACTCTACTTCATAGTTGGAGCAGAGTCAACCGCTCCACTATCCGCCTAATAACACATAGACCTATTAAAATCTAGTCAACAAGGAATTTTGAATATTTATGAGACAGATTACAAAAACTAACCTTGACTCTTCATCCAAACCGGCTAACATATAGTAAAATATATGGAAATTAGGTTCCCCTTCAGGACGATCAGTGACACGACTACGTTCAAATAATAATAATCTTGTTGTCAGACCTGTTACAATTAAACTAATATCTTCCGGCTGATTAACTATTGGCAAAGAATGGATATTAGCAAATTCTAATGAGAATAAACGTAATGCTCGACTTCCATTAGTGTTGAGAATAATACGTGAACAGGTGAATGAATCAAGCATATTGAAGAGTGCACGTAAACGACATTCTACAGTTTCAAAAAAGGAAGATATACAGATGAAATATGCAAATAAGTGCATGATTGTTTATTATTACCATTATTCCTTATTGCGTAAATAGTATACGTCACCATGAAACATGTACACAAAACGGAAACAATATAGATAATTATATTACAATGATAAACTGAAATACGAGGTTAACCAACGTTCTTCAATGATATTTGAACGGATAAAGATAGGAATTTATAAATCACTGGCTTGCAAGATCCATGCTTGATTAATTAAATCTTATATTTCAAGCTTATTCTATCCCATTTGGTTTGAGTGAATAATGGGTTATTACAATTAACTCTATTGAAACAGTTTGCGTAATCAACTTGAATTTGTACTCATTGAACAATACTTAGGGTATAATTCGTAATTCGGGTTGTTGTATAAAAAGAATATTAATATTTGAAGTTGGTGGAGAGCGATATTCACTACCTTGTCAAAGCGTCACTATACCATTCCAACAGTTCAAATTTTATCGCTCGGTTGATATCAAACACGGTCATAGAAATTAGAAAGTATGCGTGGTTTGTAACTATTTGATTAAAATTCTGTTAGAACCATATTTTCATTTATTTATTTATTTGAACAAATAAATATTGGTACAGTAGGGCACCAAATATATATGCGCCACACAAAAAAATGAGAATGGGAGAAAAAAGAAAGAAGGTAAGGAGCGTAAAAGAAAAACAAGAAGAACAATAACGACCAGATTAGTGTAAGGTAGTGTAATAATAATAATAATAATAATAATAATAATAATAATAATAATAATGGGGGAAACGGAAAGGTACAACCAGAAGAAATCCTTCGGTTAAGAAAGATGCAACCACTTTTTATGAAGAAAGTAAAAGAAGGTTACAACAGGATCGCCACTGGCCTACATTCTGAGCCATATCTGATAACGTCTCTAGCCACTGTGTCACACCATCTCTCGGACCCCAGCCAGGGAGTCGTGAAGGACCAACAGGATCCAGCCCTTTGCAGCTTTCTTTCATACCACGACACCATGTCATACACTGACCACCTCTCCGCTTCTTCCAACCAGTCCCACCGTCGGCAAATAATGCACGACGTGGAATTCTCTGGGACGACATTCGGAGAACATGTCCAAGCCACCGAAGTCGGTGTTTCAAGATGGTGACACCAATTGATTATCATCTCTGTGCCCGAACACACGATGCCGAACCTCTGCATTACTGACATGGTGTTGCCACTGAATGTCAGCAATCCTTCGGAGACAGCGATGATCGAACACAGAGAGTCGTCTAACGTCCTCAACTCGGAGAGGCCAGGTTTCACAAGCATAGAGCAAAACTGCTCTCACCGACGCGTTGTAGATCCGACCTTTTACAGCCAGACTAACATCACGAAGGCGCCAAAGGTGGCCCAGATTGGCATAAGCCGCTCTGGCTTTCACTATATATGCATTGATCTCATCACTCACACCACCACCAGCACTTATGCAGCTACCCAGATACACGAACTTCTCGACTACTTCTATCTGCTCACCATCCAGGGTGAGTACAGGATTAGAATCCTGCCAGTCTTGTAGAAGTACTTTGCACTTCGAAGGTGCAAAGCACATACCATACCTACGGACACTGATTGCCAACTGATTAAGTGCGGATTGCATGCCTTGGGCATTATCGCACAGTAAGACAATATCGTCCGCATACTCAAGGTCGAGAAGTCTTTCTCCAGGCAACAGATCCACACCACCATTACTTACATTCATCAGAGCTGTTTCCAGAATGTCATCGATGGCAAAGTTGAAGAGGAATGGTGAGATTGGGCAACCCTGCCTAACCCCACTGCTCGAATGGAACAATGGAGAGAGGTGGTTGTATGCCCTCACTCTGCCTGAGGTGTTTGTTATAGGGCTTTTAGGATGTTAATAAACTTCTCAGGCACACCCTTCTTCAATAGACAATCCCAGAGAACAGTCCTATCCAACGAATCGAAGGCAGCCCTGATGTCAAGAAACACTACGATTGTTGGCCTTTGATAGGTATGGCGGTGTTCTAACATTTGGCGGAGGGTGAAGATATGATCAATACATCCTCGACCAGAACGAAACCCAGCCTGCTCCTCGCGAGTCAATCTTTCTCGGGTTTTGAACAACCTACGAAGTATGACGGAAGCCAATAGCTTGGACGCAATCGGAAGTAAACTTATCCCCCGATAGTTGTTACAGGAACGACGTGAACCCTTTTTAAAGATAGGGACAACTATCGACTCATTCCATGACGTTGGTACACTCTCTAGTTCCCAAACCTTTGTAAACAACGTCGTCAATTCCTTAGTCAAAAGTCACCACCATCTTTAAAAAGAGCCGGAGGTAAGTCATCTGGGCCAGGTGATTTGTAACGCTTCAAGAGTTGGAGTTCCTTGCGAACTTCCGCCTCATTTGGTGGATCAGTCGTCACCGGCCATGGAGGGCAGGACAGTCTGACCGATGTTGCCGGAGCAGCAGGCCAGTTGAACTGCCCTTCAAAAAATTCTGCCCATCGTCCAAGACGTCGATGGATGTTAGTGATTGGCATCCCATCATCCTCACAGATTGTTTCACTCACACCAGACTTCTTGCTGCCAGTGGCTCGGATGAGTTGGAAGAGCTTCCGGTAGTTACCAGATGCAGCTGTTGCTTCCAGCTCATTAGCACGCTCCGACCACCAGGCTTCTCGGTCCTTACGCAAGCTTTGCCCGATTTCACTACGTAACATCCTCCGTTTGTGGTCAAACTCACGGTCACCCGGAGTAGACCGACGGGCTTCGATGAGTTGTAAGGAGCATGAAGAAACCCAGTGCTCATAAGTGGGACGTTTCGCGAAGCCGCAAGCGGCTTTAATCGCCATTTTCATGGCGTCATGAAGTTGCAACTAATGCTCATCTATACTTTTTTGTGTAATGGTAGCGAGCCTAGAAGCTAGCTCGGTTCGATAATTAGTCGCAATAGAAGTTGCAACAACTTGCTGACATCAATCCTTTGGTGGCGGTCACTTCGTTGGCCATTGAAAAGTAAGGTAAGATTAGCGCAGACCAGGGCATGTTCAGAGTCCAGATAGGTACTCCAAAAGGAGCGACAGTCTTGTACACAACCACGCCAGCGGTAGCTGATCGTGATGTGACCATAGATCGAATGTGACGGGAAAATTGCGTGGGTAATGTCAAGGTTAGGCTCAGGTTTGTAAGCATAAGTTTTTATTAAATTAAGTGGTTGAAACATGTATAATTCTTGCGCAATACATTGGCTTACTACTGGAAGACAGTAGTGAACAGTCTATCACAATCAGAATACAACATACAATGTAACAACCACGATTAGGTGCACGAAAATGAAACTTAACCATTAGTTGGTTTGCGAATGATGACGACTGTCACTAGCATTGTTTTAATAAGATAACCAAGTGCTATACAATCTCATCCAAGGGAAACTTCAACCATATTGAAACCTTTATTTTATAGTAATAATGAAAATCTCTCATTATTTTTTAAAACAAAATATTCTTATTAAGATAAATGGGATGCGAATATTTTCATGTGAAACTCATCGACGAATTTTCTTGATAATACATGTTATCAAATAATGAACTGTGAAAGACAATGGCGATGAATAAATAGTAAAGTCATTTATCATATCTCGTTAGAAAGTGTGTAACGTAACCATAGTAACTACCTGACAAAAATCGATTATCAACACTTGCAAAAATTCCTCCTCCATACTTGGTTTACATATTGTATTTGTAATGGTGTAAGTTTGAACACCTCCTGCTTACATGTTTGTTTGCTTTTTGAGAAAAAAAAGACATTAAATTTGAACAGCATGAAGAAATCAAAGCAAACAAACAAATTATCTCTAATTTCACTTGGTATCATCACAGTAAAAACATGTATAATAATAAGGAAAAGACAAATTATTTACCATTGATTTTACTTGATATGATGCTGTTATTACCATTATTATTTGAGTGATTAAAAAGATTAATCGATTTCTCAGATTGATAAATCATGTAAGTGAATACATCATTAGAGATGTGTGTTTTACCAGAACCAGAACGACCCAACAAGCATAAAACTTGTTGACTTAAAGAACATGGTAAATGATACACTGGGTTTCCATTGACATGATTTTGTTGTTGTTCCATAGTAACTATGGTGTAGAATAAACGTCGTTTTAAACGAGCCAAAATTAATTGTGCCACAGAGTATACATGCGGTGGCATATCATAGCGTACTTGACAGTTAGTAAATAAATCCATCACCTTTATGATAAGTCAACAAGAGGAAATTACAAGTGATAGTGTATATCATTCTCATTTGTTTTTTTTTCTAACAAAAAATTAGAAGAACCCAAGTTTTATAGTTTGACACCAAGTTTTGCTTTATTTGTGACAAAACATGTTCATGAAAATATATTATTATTATATGAATTAGAATCGGTAAGTATTACTACTCATAGATAGTTTCTAGTATGACACATTCGACTAGCTAAGGTTCATTCTGAAAGTAACTACAGTAAAATGTTTATCCAGTACAATATTACCAACGAAAGAATAGTAATGCTTAATTTGTTAAGCGTTTTCTAATAATTTCTACAGTAACTCAACTAAAAATAAAATTGTAACTTTTAAAGTATCATTATTAATGAAGAGATGAATTATACCCATTATTGATATTCAAAACTGGATTATGATAGGTCTTTGTTAGCGTATTTGTCCTGTGCCTATTGTTAAAGTGTAGACATTTCATCACACTGTTTATAATATAGATGGATTATCACTAGCAATGGAATCCAAGATGTGTGTTTCATTCTATTCGGGAATCACCAACTAGGTGTTCTTACACCAGTGTTGATGTTCACACTGAGACTCGAACCTAAAACCTCTCTCTTCAAACGCCAATGCGTAATCCATTGAGTCAATCAGTTCAGATTGATATTAACTTGCTCAACAGGCACCAAATTTACATTATCGTTAGTAAAGTTCTAAATTTTGTCGTTGTTGATAAGCAGGACTGAATTTTGATTATGCTGAATCGACTGATGAAAGCACACTCAGACATCAAATCCCATACGAGATCAAACGCACGTCTTGAATTGCACTGCTAGCGAAAATCTACTCGTTCTTTAAAATTAATTTTTCACACATATTTGCGGAGCAAATTAATAACAACATAATTTCAATATTCTCCTATTTTAGATTACATAATTGAAGTAACATCAGTTGTATGTTGTAAAACTATTCGCATAAAACACTTGCTTCATATCTTAAATGGATATTATTAAACAGCTAGTCAACTGTTATTCAATAACATTTGAAATACAACTGTGAAATAAGGATCCATGTGGAATAAGATTAGATTTCTGTAACAATAAAGAAATTCTCTTTGGCTGGACGATCAGTACTGTTTTGTATTAGTAAAGAATTTCTTAACAATCTATATCCACAATCTTGAGGGGAATCAAACCCGTCATCTTCCGATTTCCCGGCAAGTGAGCTAATTTCAGACTACCAAGTTGATTTCCAACGGTTCACATTAGTAAATTCAATTGGTCAAAAGAGTATATCAATATACTGTCAACATTTTCAGTGTATGAAGTTCATTAGGAAACTTGTTCTAAATGTCTAAATTGAACGTTTTTGTAGTAACCAGAAAAGATTAAATATTCAGGATGATGAACACATCAAGTTACAGTATGAAACAATTTTTTAATGTAGTCGTTGCAGTCATTATCCCGCAAACTACAGTTTACAACATTAATACGTGTTATAAACTCATTGTAACCGATTTACAATTTCGTTCTCTTGATGATAACAAAAAACAATTATATTATTGTAAACAGAAAAAAATTATATGACTAATTATCTAGGTACTTTCAAACAGAATGGAACTAATATAAGTTATCCTACTGTTCGTCTTAAGTGAAATGACTAACAAGCATATATTAAGTTTATTCATTCGAGGAAGAAGTATCTCACAACTTGGTAAATAAATTACAGTAGACCATGAAACGAGAAGAGAGGACACAATAGTTGTTTTCAATGAAACACAGTTTATAATCATTCAAGCTAAAAATATCCTGTGAACTAAATACAATTCAATAGTTCTTTACCTACCTTGATTTTACCACAAAATATTTATGAACTCATATTACTATTACTATGACAGTTCTTATTGGAGTTGGGTAGTCGCCTGCAGTGGAACTCGTTAATTGGATGTGCCTGTATCCTAGTGTTAGCGTTCACGTTACACAAAACTTTACAAGTATTGCTGTGGATGTTTTCCAGCAAAAACTATTGAAAACATAGCAAACATGAAATTCAATCATTATTATTACCATTATTAAAAAATCTTTTATCGCAGTGCTACCTATGTCCGCTGTTTTGATAGATTAAAAATCATTCATATATATATAGGGAAAGAGTAAAAGACCTGAAAGAATTATACTTTTTAAAAAATTGTGGAACTCACTTTATCTGAATAAATATTCAAAGGCATCATTGGATTAATACTGATTAGATTGATGCCTGAGGCATAAGTGAATATTAGACCAGATCCATATCGTTGAATAAATGAATGTGTTACACTGGATTCATTAATATAACGCAATTTAATTAAATCATCAACACGATCGAAACGAGGCGGATTCGCCTACATTAATGTTTTTTTGTGATTGAATCAAAAGGGAGAAAAAACATCGAAATGGATTTTTTGAAGGAGGAAAAAGTTAAAAATTGTTTTGTTTGTTTTCAACTAATCCTTACACTGATCTTTTTAGATAGATAAGTGTTAGTTAATATAAATCAAGTGACTCAATCATTCATAAACAATGTAGAACCTGATATGTATAACAATAAGTTCAAATTATCGACACCACACAAAATAAGTTTAACAATATGAAATTATCAGGACGAATTTCAGAGTAGTGGGAATATTACCAATATTAGTAGTAGTACGAAAAATTAGGTATAAACAGCAGGATTCAACGAAAAGACAATCAATTCGTGAAATTAAAAGTACAAGATAATATCGAAAGTCAAGATTTAAAGGAAGGCAAATAATGAATGTATCTGTGTCACTGTGACCGATTTCAATTCATCTCATCCAAAGTCTCCAACCACTGGTCATGATAACCATGAAGACCGCAACCGAATAGTCCGGACCTATTACTAGAGCTTACCACTCAATGACTATGGATTGATGCCATGTCTTGGGATTTGGTCGTTCTTAATTTTCGACAAACATACTCCTACAAGTATAACATAGAACGTCGAGTTAGGTGGTGGTTATGGATACAAAATACATTTCTCAATAACCTCAATCAGTGAACATTCATTACCGCATCAATCGGTTCGACATCTTCGCTAGTACTTGATGCCTAACTTTAGAATTGCTCACTTGATGGTTCCAAAATGACATAAAGTAAAAGAAATAAATGTCTTTATTAACCGCAACACAATAATCTATACCAATGTAACAAGGACAACTAGATTCATTTAAGACAGAATTCAGTAGACAATAATTCCGATAAATTGAAATGGGGAAAATAAAGCAAAAACAAATATTGATGCAGAATAGTATGAATTCATAATATTTCGAGGTTTCTCGTCAGCTGCCTACAACCAAATAAGTAATAGAATTTTACATTGAGATAATAGTGTGAAACAATTGACATAAATGATTGGAATGACAAAAGTTTACAATAATAACTATATATATATATATATATATATATATATATTCTGCATCAATATTTGTTCTTGCTTTATTTAAATTCATAAAGGGAACTAATTGCATGAAATTTTTGAAATGAGGAAATTTGTAAAAGTTAGAGAATAGGTGGTTCATAAATTAACTTCTGTGAATGAATATTTAATAAAGAAATACCTATTGATTATTTAACTGTGGTACCTGAATAGTGGTCAGTGTAAATGTTGTTTGTTTAATTATATGAGTCTTTCATATTGCTTTCATATCAGATGAATTAGAGATGACATGTGTTCATTAGGTGGTTTTTTCAACGGAGTCAACTCTGAAGGAAAATATATTAAAGGAAAGCTACTAGTGAACAAACCGGGATATTTCATTTGCTTATGCGGTCAGTGATAAATTGAAGTCGGCTATATAATGGTTACTTACCATACGTAAAATAAATAGAAATCAGCCACGATGGTGAAAATAAACTCAATATTTTCATATTTCATTAAACTTTGAGTTTAATATTATCTTTTACAGTTCTAAATACAATTTCTACGTAAATACGTTTTAGAATCATTGGCACTTTACTTTTCGTTATGTTAATTTGTTCGCATATTCTTTTTCTATTTTGATGTGTGGAAACTTAGGCCTAATTATATTTATCCCAGTTCCTACATTGTTCATGACTATACGTGCATTAAAAATATTTTTCGTAGTATTCCTGTGACGGAAAATGTTGATTTCTGTCAGTCTGTCTGACAGTCAAAAACAGACAAGTTTGATATTTTTATAAAAATCATTCCAGAATTTTAAATAAAACTGAATTTCACTTCTTAATTGAGCAGTAAAAGTTGTCTAAACTGACTAACAATCGACTTGACAAGAATAGATGTAAAGCAGGAATGAATAAATACCTACTATTAATCTAGTTAACTTGCTTAAACAACTCGCATTAATAGTATAAATAATTATTTTTAATTAAAAAAACTTGGGAATAATAGAGAAACAAGTGAACGTTGAGGGAGTTAAATGATAAAATTCAATTTATATGATACATAATATACATTGTTATGAGATCTTACACGTTCAACATCTTCAGGATTCACTTCAATTACTTCTTGTCCTGGTAGAATGATCACACGACATCGTCCATTTGGTAGTGAACTAAGAAATTTTCCAGAAACATATCCTTGTTTGAATGTGATCCAAACTGGGAAATCTGTTTGATTATTATCTTCGTCATATACAGATTGCACATATTCATGATTATTATTATTATTAGGTTTACGTTTTATGGTATGTACAGCATCAAAAGATGAGTTTTCAAGTGTATCTGGTTTTATCTGTAATCAGACATTAGAATTAACTAAATTACTGGTCAGTTCATTGAATGTTAATTTTTACATGATGATAAAAAAAGATTAGTTTATTTCAAGCCTATCAAGAAAATATCCAAGCAGTAACAATTTACTCTGATTTCAACTCCACAGATTGTGAAAATTACAAAACAGGTAAATCATAAATTGTTACAACACTAGAAGAAGCTCTAATTAGTTTGCCAGACAAAAAGTTGGGGTTATTTAGATTTACATTGCTGAGATTATTTCAAACATAACTTTTACAAATAATGTCTTCAATATATTCTGTTGGATTTTATAAAATTGTTCATTTGAACTATAACAAATGTTCGCATGAATATAAGAATGATGTTTCAATTTATGAACAGCCTGAATATATTTACATACTCATAAGGATACTATTCATTCAGAAAGTAGAATTTAGGTAATTTCAGACAGTAGAATTGATGACCAGAATATTTTTATCTTCAGGCAGTTAATGCTTTAATTCTTTGAAAAAATGTGTATCTGTTGTGGAATAATTAATTCTAATGAATATTTGCTGTTTCATTATTGTTTACTACAATATCATAAACAAAAATTTGGTGCTTTTTTTTATCTAAGCAATACACGAGTACCTATTCAAATTTATTTAATGGTTAGAAACAAGTCAGGTCTATGATATATAACAAACGGAAATTTCGGAGGTTACAACATTGTTGATTATTCTGAACAGCTTTACTGAGATCATGTAGAATAAGCACTTTACATGGTTAATTAAGATAATTATTATGAAATCTGTGTTCGTGGTTATTTCATGTAAAAAATTGAAGACATTTATTACAATAAACTGTAAATACATGCCGAAGAGCCGGTAAAACTGTTTAACGGAAATATTATTTAACTCAATGAACTGAAAGTAAAAACATAAATCACCACTTTTTAGAAATCGAAATGGTCTCATTTTTGTAAGGATTTGCACTTAAAAGTCAACACCGGGATGCAAGTACACCCAGCTGACGAGTCTCAAATAGGATAAGACGCGAGACTTAGATGAAAACCGAATCAAAGCCATGTACTCTCAATTATTATAATTTCAAAACAGCTTTGTTCAATGGTGATTTCAAAGTTAATTTATACTGTTCATAAGATTGTATAACTTAAAAAAACAAACAATATTATTCAATAAAAACAATGACGCCATTAACCATTAGTCAAATACCATAATACTACATCCATTGGACCATAAACATACTTTCACATAAGAAGTAAATCAATTTTGTTATATCATTCATTACTATTCAAAACCACTATGCCGTATCTAGTTAAATAACAGTGAGAATCCAGTCTCGTAACTCTTTTCTTTTATAAGATTAATTCGATACCACTATTTTAGTATGAATCCATATTGCTCGAATAATCATAAGGTTATATCTCATTTATGAAAACCTTACTTAGGATCATTATCAAAACAAAACAAAAAACGTATACTTATATCAGACTGTAATATGTTAACTTAATATTGTAAAAAAAATGATAAAATAAATGGGTATTTATTTAGTTATCTGATAAATGAATTATAGTCATTCCATGATTTGCTTTAATATTTTATTTATAAATGATGGATAAAAATAAACTATTATTATAATGTATTGAGAATTAATGATTATATCTCGTGATTTCTAATTATAATTATGAATCAACACTTAAAACGGTAAATAAATTATTTATTGGCTTGCCTTAATACACAATTTTATCAAATCAATTATTCCTTTTAAGTAATTGTGAATTTCATATTTTTGTAAATGAAAGTTTACAGAATACTTCATATCATCAGTACATGTATAGAGATAGTGAAAGAGAGTGAAAAACAACACCAACAACAAAATAAGAAATGTCAGTAATCATCTATTAAGTTTTCTGAAGCCAACAAAGAGATAAGGATTTTACAGATTTCTGTTGTATGAATAAACTAGAATTATACGCTCAAATTCCTATGATTTATTTATATGTAAAAGGCGAGATTGAAATTTGTTGGAAAACTGTAAATGGTATACGGTAGATCACTTGAAATGATTTGGGTCTATCTACCGTTTTTTAGAGTTTTTTTAGAGAGTTAGTTTTCTACGGGATGGGGTCGCTAACCCTATGCTCAACCCTCCTCCTTTATCCGGGCTTGGGACCGGCAGTAGCCCCCGGAGGGACTCCAGGCGAAGTTCGGATCTATCTACCGGATGATATAATTTTAAAAATAATTCATAACTAAGTTTTCAAAATTAATAAACGTTAACATTGTGAAACATATCATAACTATAATTAATTGACTTAATTTTGTAATAAAAATGAAAACATCAACATCAACAGTCATGCATATCCGGAGCTACATGACAGTGTTTGCATTGAAATGAAAAACAATCTAATCTCCTGAATGATAAATAACTGAAAACTATCCGTGTTATAGAGTATTCAATGTATAAGCACATGTAAATAAAATAATCATGCTGGAACACTTAATATATCACTGTGTTATAAGTTTGTTACAGAAAAAAAAACCATGAAATGCAAACACGTATTAATAATACTCATTTATTATATGCATTTGAGAGTAACTTTTTATTATATACTTTAAAATTTAGAAACCCTACACATGGATGATCTTGACAATATGTTCCATTAAAAAGTCAATTTTTTGTAAAAAAAAAAAGCTGCCTTTTTTGTCTAACCAAAACGTTTATGTACTTAACCTAATCAAACTTTATTTTCTTCAACTGTATGGTATTGATTCCATTTACAATGTGGATTGTCTATAGATAAACTATTTTATGATCTACAAATGATTGAGCATTGAATAATAATCAATATTACGTTTGTCTAGTCATCTACTGGTGATGATTAAGTTCAGTCGATCAAGTTTCAATATAGCCACTAATCTACGAAAGTGGACATAGTGTGCACTATTTTGAAATGTAAAATGGTGGAAAGTGATCGATAAGAAACCATGGACTTAAGTTTCACGCTAGTCGGAACTAGTTAACAAAGCTTTCATTTCATCTTAAGGAAACTCGTGTTTCCTGGAGAATTCGCTACTGTATCATCCAGCTTCAAAATTTGAGATGTCACTATATTGAGCTATTCAGACCACCACTGACCTCCCGTGTGACGGGGATATTTACAATTTGATCAATGAGTATTGACCAATGTTATGTTTGTCCTTTATGGTTATTACAAGAAGTGTAATAAACATTAGTTCGGTAGCCACAATGCAAATAAACTGTTATGTGGCAATTTTCGATAGTAAGACTAATCATTCACTTAATCGATTGTTTAGCTAAGAAAACATGTATAAGAAAACTTTTAAACTTGAAATTTTATGGTCAGAAAAAGAATGCTCATTATGAATGTAAATTTATCCCGAAACAAACTTAATTAATAACAATAGTAATAGTGAAAATTACCGCAGAGTTCATGATAGTGATACGCTGTAGTTATCCAGGCATTGACAAATAATGAATAAAAAGAACACTTCAGTCTAATAGTTCCGTAATCAAGACTCAGTTGTTCTCATTGTAAATTTCACATCATCATATCAATAGTTAGGCGATCATATATATATATATATATATATATATATATATATATATATATATATATATATATATATATATATATATATATATATATATATATATATATATATATATATATATATATATATATATATATATATATATATATCAGCAAATTCTTTAATAGAACAGTTTATTGATGTTTACATGCGTATGTGTAATGTGACATTTATGGATGGAATTCACTCTACAAAAATCAACTCATTCATCTACTTGTGTTATCACCATACTCAGGTGAACAAACTTTCAATCACATTTCAATTGTTCACTACAGTAGAATATTGTAATTATTGGAAGAAATATGACAAGAAATTTTTTGTTTCATATTATTTTAAAAAGAGAAACAACAAAAGTGTAGACATTTTAATGTATATACAAGCATGTACAAATGTATTTACGAATGTACATAATTTTATAAGGCAAACAACTATACATGGCAGAAAACGACATCATTACACATAATTTTCATTTGTATTAGAAAATATATTTATAGCACATTACCGTATGTACGGATGAATGTGGGTAAAAGAAAACATTCTCTCTCAGATTCACACAATGCTTTGATATATATATATATATATATATATATATATATATATATATATATATATATATATATATATAATAGCATTTTGGAGAGATTATATTCTGTGAGCTGAATGGTTTGGTTACAAAGCTTTCATTGTCTTTCCGGACATCAATAGTATATACTTCAGAAAAAAGTGAGCTATTGGACTTCCCACAACATTGGCAAACAGCTTGTTCTTTTGACCTGTAGTTCGGTTGACTTCTGTCTATAATTGTGTGATCGTTGGATTCGTGTTTATTCTAATTGTGTTCACCGATAATCTGACCTCTGACCTTGCAGTTATTGACTAGTAGACTGAGTTGATTTCGATACATTCATTGATTAACGCGTCGCCGGAATGTTAGGCTTCTCAAGATTCTCTTTCTTTGTGTTTCCTCTGTCCAATATTTCGACAATTTTGCAGCGGGACTCATGTCAATAGTTGAACACATTTATTGATACAAATAAATTCATGTGATAACGTTTAAGAAGTAGCTGGTGACCACGCAGACGCAGACAGAGAAAATGGCGACTTTGCTCTATACATTGTTTGTTCAGCTGTTGCAACTTCTGTCAAACAAAGTCTATATTTCATTGATGAGTGAGTGATACACAAAAGTTTTATTTTACAATTGTTTATCTGATAAATGATATCTAATTATGCTTATTTTTTATTAGAATACTTTGTACTCGAACATGTTTGTTTGAATTGACAATAAACCTATTCTGATATCAATTCCTTCGACGATTTGCGTCAACAACTCAGAAGCGTGATTGATTGTTAGCCAGCTAACCAGCCACATTGTATCATTATGTATTACTTACTGGTCAACATAATTTTTTCAACTCGAACACTTACACGACAAGCGTATTCTACTAATAAATTATCCCACATAACATAAATCGAAGGGGATTTCCTCTAGCAAAAATACCATTATGTACACAACGTAAACACAAACATTCACTTTATTTATGATAGTTTTGACATATTGCTATTCAAAATTGTGAAGTATGAGTTATTAACTCATTTGTGATTTACATCTAACTCCACCTGTAGCTCATCTAGGGTTACTGCCAGTCCCGATTCCGGGTAAAGGAGGGGGGTTGAGCTTGGGGTAAGCAACCACGTCCCATTGAAAACAACCTTACTAAATATAAGCTTACAGGAAAAAAATTAAACCATCTGAACTCTGACCTGGGAGTTGGAAGATATTCATTCAGAAGAATTACGACGTCTCATGATGAAAGCCGAGATTCGTTAGAAGTTACGAGACTGATGCCCCTTCTAACAACCACAGAAACAATTAATATAAGTACATGGAATGTTTAGAAAATATGGGAGACCTGAAAGACCAGCCGAATAGCTGAGGAATAAGTGAAACACATTGAACCCAAGCTGGACAGAAATAGATAGATTCTGCAGAGATGCTGCTGTATGCTGATCACGAAGAAGAAATGCTAGGCACACTCAGGGAGATGCTCTGATGCTGTTCAAAGAAGTACGTAAAGCACTTATAGGATGGGAATCTCATGAACTCAGGATCATCAAAGCATCCTTCAAAACAGAGGAGAAGAGAATTACAATGAATATTATCCAATGTTATGCACCCACCAATGATAGCAACGACGACGATAAAGATCAGATCTGAACATCCTGATGGGAGACCTAAATGACAATGTCCTGAATGGAAAAGAGACACAGGAAGACCAAGTGACACATTGCGTCGGGAATCGGAAGCACACATCAAAAGAATAAATAGCAACTGAGAAGGATCGTCCAAGATGGAGACTCCTGGTAGACGGCCTATGCTGCTCCACGAGAGGTAACAGGCGTAAGTAAGTTTACATCTAGTTATTCAAACACTAGGCTATTAAATGATGAGAAGAGGGTACTTCGTTGTCCCTTGTAATTTAAAATACCCAACTCCGACATTGAATTTTGTATAACAATAGTTTAATGGTTGAAGCAATGAATTTTTAACACGTAAGTTGTGCGCTTGAACTCCCAGTTTGATATGGACAACTGAATAATATTATTAAGCATAGTACCAAACGAGTGTGCTTTGAAACTATTTATAAATATAACCCAGCTGCCTAAATTGAAGTAGGTGAAATGAGGTTTCAAAATGAGACCTATTGGTTGAAAACCGAATGTTTTAACCAATAAAACATCTCTCTATATTTGAATAAAGATCCGAAGTTTAATCAATTTATTAAAACAAATTCCTGAAAACCTTAATTTTTCAAATCCAACAGTGACTAGAACCCCATAATGAACACTAATTGATAACGGAATGCCAGATGACGTCATACTGTCCAGTCCATGGAGCTTATCAAATTCTATCGATCAAGTTGTAATTTGATTACTGACATAGAGGACTCAACATGAGGGTGCACTATGCTTAGCTCCTATGAACTTAGGTTTGATGCTAGTTACTAACCGCCAGTAAGATCCATCTGGAATTCTGAGGTAAAAGACTCTCCACACAAACTTCGATCCCTATAATCCATTGTGATAATCACATAGATGTCTACTACTCAGTGATCAAATAGTGTAAACGTATAGTGAAAGCCACAGTGGATTATGCTCATCTCGGCTATCTTTTGTATCATGATTATGTCAGTCTAGATGTAAGAAGTTAGGTCTACAATGTATCAGGTAAAGCAGTTTTACTCTATGCTTGCGAAACCTGGTCTCTCTGAGTTGACTCACCGGGTTTGATCGCTATTGTTTCCAGAGGATAGTTGACATGACGTACCAAAAACATGTTAGTCTCGTCTCTACTGTTAACTGAAGTGCCTTTCTTATCATATACTGTTCTTATTGTTTTATAAACTTATTTTTTCCTCCTTAAATGTACTGCCTCTTCCTTACAATGTTATATATATTCTATCTAGCACATTCTATTTTCTCGGTGTCTTGTTGTAACAGATTTTATGTGCTTAACTGAAATAGGATAAATAAACTAAATGCAACCAAAAAAGACAGGATGAATGTAAGAATTAATGAAGGCAACAAAAGTTACAAAGACTACCAACTAATAACGAGGCAATCAGAACGGATTGATATAACTATTATGAAATAATCAGAAAGTGAAATTCTATATGAATTAAGCGTTGATGATGTTGCTCAAAACCACAATGAAAATTCCATAAACAACTATCGAGCTCAGAGAAGATATCACGAAAAGCAATAATTTGAGCTGAAAATGTTCCCTACCATTTTAAGACGGATTTATTGTTTTGAAAGGACGGCCAACATTTTTTTATTTATGCAATTATCATTGAAAATATCAGTTGAAGTATGAGCTGACTTGTAACTAATGAAAATAAGTGCGAACACAACCTAACTTCAAAACAGCGATTGGCACGATTTTGTTCCATTTCGTATAACACTACTTTAAAAATGTCTAAGTAGTATACATTGTAACACTTTATTTTAAAAGGCAGTGCGTCAAAGCATCAAAGCACTAAGAAAATCTAGTTTCCAATGCACAGGCGGAAAATGAAATGAAAAATTGCGCAACAAAACACGAAGTTAAATTTATTAATCCTGATTGCTATCTATAAAGACATCTGTTTCAAGAAGAATCCCCTAAATATATTATAAATCGGAACACTACAAAAATTACCAAATAAATCATATATAAATTGATTTTGCAACAATGTGAATGATAGATGCTACACACTTTTTTAGCCTTATATCTGAATCCAGTTAAACCATATGACGATTGTTATCTAAATATACATGACCCAATCCTCATATATAATTGTGGACTAGATTCACGTTACAGAATAACGGGATAAAATAAGCCAGATACGAGAATGGATTTTGAATACGTATATTTCATACACTCGTTGATTCCGACAGACGATTAAAGAAACGATGCAAAGAGGAGACAACAAAGTGAATAAGATAATGAGGTTGGAAAAATGGAAAACGAAGCAATGCGGAGAAGTCGAGTGAGCCAACTGGGTTTAATCAAGCGTAACTTAATATTTATAGTCAGGCAAAAATAAGTTACAGACACGTTATGAATATATATATATATAACAGTCGTTAATGAGCAAATAATGTGGCTTGTGAAGAGTAAATAAATAATTCTATCCAGAAGCTAGAATAACCTATGAGGGTTTGATATAGTACCAGCCACTACAACGTTGTTGCACTTTGTGGATTGGATGGTTCGATCACTGAAACTTTTGTTGTCGTTCTATATATTATCAGTTCAGGGAAAATTACAACCATAAAGTTATCTCGTTCATAAACTGAACGTACTCTAGTAACACATTCGAGTGAGATTAAATGTCTAAAGACGTGTTTGGTCAGAGAAGTTGAAAATATAGGATGTTTCATTGAAATCTGTTCAATTGTTTACTGAAAATCCATAAAACCTGAGGTCACCTTTTTCTTATTTCTGAAAATGATTATAAAAAAATTAATGTTCATGTGTTTATATCACAGATACAGAAAAAATAATTTTAATAGGGTTAAGCGCCTACTTTTTGTAAATGTAGATATAAGTTTTGGAAGCTTCCGTACTTAACAGCGTAGCCCCGAACAGAAACCGGAGTTATGTGATAAAAGTTGTCTTGTCCATATTCTTGTTCAGTTTTTAAATGCTCAAGTCCAGGCTGGGGAGTAAGCACTAGGCGATAGAAGAAATCGGTAAATTCAGGAAGAGACTGTACAGTCAAAGACAGACAAAGGTCAGTGGAGCGGATCAATTGCAAAACTTCGTTACGAGAAATCGATCCAACAGGCTTGTCCCCAACAGCTACAAGATAATCACCTGGAAGTAAGCCACAGGAAAGATTCTGCACGCCATAATCTGTCAGAAGGACCTACAAACAAACGTCGAATGCAACATTTAGAAAACACTAAGTGAGGACTAATAATAAAGTAGTAATCCATCAAGGGCTTTTATCAATCAGAATATTCACAAAATCTTATTATTTACTTTACCAAGTACTTAAGAAGACACTAAATACCAGTTTAAACAGTATAGGCAGGTGAAAACGTCCTAGTTGAGTCCGAGAGACAAGTATGATTAGTGGTTTTGAAACTTAACTGACATGGATAGAAATCCTTCTGACCAAAAAGATTGGTCAACTCTGCATCTCCTCCTTAATCCCTAACCTTAATATCATCCTAAAATGTATATATCTTCATTTCATTCTTCCTCTCCAAGTATCACAAACTATACCACTGTGGTGTATGCTACTTAGGTCTGCCGATATAAGTAGTATGTAACACCATTGTGTAGTGGAAACCCTACCAGCAAAAGAGTATGAAGGTTGACTTGAAGAAATCAGAAACGGAATTAGAAAGGTATTGTGAATCAGGAGAATCATACAGAATGTGAAGGAGGAATGATGACATTTGCAAATGGAGTATTTAATATATGGTTCTTATAATTTACCAAGAGATTCTGTAATTTTGTATTAAAATATAGTTGGTTGTCTACTACCTATGTTCTGGTTTACTGCACCTCAACTTTTCTTTGCTACTGATCTTTATCAGATTTTATAAATGTGTTTATATAGCTAATTAGTAAGTTATGACTGACTAATATATAAAAGCACTAAAAATCACTGAGCAGAGATGACTTTCGAATAACCTGAAGAACTAAATACTTCCTAAGAACTAATACGAAACAAGTTTCGGTAAGAGTAGTAAGGACACCTTTCGTTCCATGCACAAATAAGCATATGAACAAATACCTTCTGTCAAGAGTTTTATGGAGTAAATTTGTTTGTTTCCCCATCATATGATACGTCTTAATACCAGATATGAGTAATTAACTAAATTCCTATTTCCCCGCCAATTTTTCTCGGTAAGTAATAATGTAGTATATCATACTGAAAAAATCTGGCAACCACAAACAACATTCAAACAAACTTTCTTAGCGAATGAAGTAAGTGACTTTAACGAAAGCAATGACCTGCAAATTAAGCAAAACACTTCACAAAATAATTAGAGAAAGTACTGTTGACCTTTAGCTTTTGGTCAAATACAACACCAGCGGTATTTATTGCCTAAGCTGTATTGCGAAGACTAAAACAGAAAAATTTTGCAATACTATCAAAAACTATCTCTAACACTGTTTTTCACGTTGCACTTGACAAATAATATTTGGCAACACTATAATTAACAAGTCGGATAGCGGTACATAACCCAAACAGAAATGCCGAAAGAAGCAAAATGGTAGAATTCACTAATAACTAGTTATCCCGGGTCTTACAATGCATGTGTTTGATTGCTTCTGATCTCCAGTTTGTTGGAGCAACACTTTGAATATTCAAACATTTCTTGTCTATATCTTATTGATTTTTAGAATAAAAACATCTCAAACACAGCTAAAACAATAGGTTTCGGAACAAGGTTGTTTTATTTTATGATCTTGCATAAGCTAAAACTGTTTACAACTGCAGTGATTATTATGACTATCAAAAAAAACAAATGATATACTTTGGTTGTTCAGATCAAAGGAAAAGCAAAGAGCAAATAGAACACCATGGGTTACAGGAAACAGTTAAACCATGATACGGTGAACGTCAAGTTAGCAAACAAAGAACGGTGTTTGGGGTCGAATATTACAGTATTTTAACTTTGGAATCGCACGGTACAAATTTCATTATTTTAATAGCCGTGATTTCAAAAAAAACAGCGAGACTCTAATTTATGGACGGGCCAATCAGAAGTTATTTGAATACTCTTTCTTTATCGAAAGGACTTATGTCATGAACCCTAAAGCTAGACTCTAAAAAAGCCAGTAGTCATCTGCTTAGTATGAACACAATCACTCAAACTTTATATCATTTGGTTTCCCATGACACATTAAAAAAAACTGAAACTGCAAACTAAAGAAACTTTAGATAATGTTATGGACTAAATCAAGTACCCTAGTATTCAAAATTTTGTATCGGAAACGAATTCCTGACTAATCAATACACTTAAACCACTCCACCATAACCCACTAGTAAATATTAAAAGCCTTCAGATGATCTACAGTTTATACGAAAGCTTTATGTTGTACAGCAGACAAACCATGGTTTATCTGACTGTGGTCAGATGGAACACGGTTTATAAGTCAGTCTAACATCAATAATGCTGTGTATGGTATAATAACCAACATCAAAAACATTATGCTACAGAGCATTGTTCGAATAGAATTCTGAGAATAAGTACTTATTGATTTAATACTTACTTCAGAACGGTTCTCTAGAATAAATCCATCATTCGTTAAGTGGAAACGTTTGACCAATAGACCACGGCGTATAAAAATACCGTAGCTTGAATCAGCATGTTTTTTCAGCTGTACCTTGAAGTGGGGTAGCTCAGCATGACTAAAGTTCCATTTGACGTGATTCACAACTACGGTATCTGGAGAGTTACTGGACAAAATAGAATTTCTGTAATCTGGTAGGCAAATCCGAACTTCTTCATAATACTTAACAGGTTTTCCACTCACATGCAAGCCGGATGCAGGATTTTTACCTAAACCGTAAATCTAACAGTAAAAAGGATTACCAAATATCGCTTGATGAAGTCTTGCAACTTTAACTCCAGGGTCACACCTTGACTCATTCATATTTTTATAAACCAATTGTTTATATAACAAATCCACACTATTTACTCAAGATAATTTAGCACCGACCCTACATATCCACAAACAAAGATTTCAAGAAAGTGCTCTAAACTAACCTAACTATTAATCTGACGTTCATGCATATAAAGTACACACAATTCAAACTTGAAATATCGTGAGTGACAAAAGAAATATTGTAGTTCTTTAAAGCTTGTCTTGATTTTGAAAGAGTGCTTTTCTATACAGAAAAATGTAGTTCTTGTTTAATCACTCTGACTTTGAAGAATAAAATATTAGTTGATAATAGCAGTGGTCGAGTAACGACACTTTAAACTTCTAACTTCGCTAGATATATAAGAACATTTTTCCCCAGGATCTCCATTCGAGCAGTGCGAGAGTGCTTCTGATTTCGAGAAAGTATGTATGGGCACAACAGCGCCTTTCAGTCACAAAATAGCTTAAAGCTAAATGCGAACACTGGCAGATAGCTGTAAAAAGGAAGAAACTAAGTTCGCACATTGCTTCAGAACTCTAGGTAGGGTGCTATCTGGGAGGGTAGTCCCTTCCAAAATTAAGAAATATCAGGTTTTCATTCGGAGGGATCTGTAGATGGCCATGGCACTACCTATCCCTTAAAAGAAGTCTATTGTTTCCTGGCCTTAATCATCAAAATACTCGCCTGCACTTACGAGTCAACTCTTCCATGTCCAACCTTCAAGTAAAGCCTTCCTAGGTGCGATCCGGGACCTTAACGTATTAGCACACTGTAAAAATGATGAATACTTAAGGGGAGGCGACTCACTTTGATGATATTACACCCTGTGCTTTTCTATAGCGCAGGTTTCGAGTTCGATGCTTCTTAATGACTTGAGTACCTTTGGATCGTATTTACTGAGGACGTTTTAATACAGTGGCATACATCTCCGTAAAGAAGGCATGACTTTAAGTAAATATTCGTAATAAACAGATTCTCGGGTAGTACATATGGATCTAGACCTTGCTAATCTGAAAGATGTTGTTTACGAGGTTGGGGCTCAGCTAACGTTTTGGCCACAGATTACGTGAGAAGCTTCTCGACTTTTGGAAAGGCGGTTCAGTATTTCCAGATTCTTCTGCTTCCATTTATGCTATTCATTCAGATCATATCATCTTCCTTTTTTGGTAATATGAGTATATGGTCTAAGAGATATTGTTATCAACAAAGCTCACTCTTGTTGTAATAAAAGTCTCATTGATTTGCGGACTATTAGTATTCTAAAGATAACTCTGTTAAATACTTTCCACCTTACTCTCGATTTTACACTTTTCAGTTTTCATGCGTATTTGGTTTCTTGGATTTATAATGAAAACGATACTTCAAGGCGATTCGATTTTGCTCTTATGTATGTTACCTCACAATTCGTCCCATTCAAAACGACCTATTATATCTATATTTTGCGTCGTTTACAAAAGTTTACTTTTCTGACCAGAAGTGAACTCAACTCCGGTTCGTAATTTTGGTAGTTTACCAAGTAACTAATCAGAACGAAGTAGGATTTATCATTTCCGCCATTTTAATAGACAACGTACGTCGACTTGGCTTGTTCTGTGTTTTTTCTCAGGCTCTCTTATGTAGCTGCGAAAGTTGATTCGTAAATATCATGAAATTTCGTAAATTATGTGATCCTCTAAATGTTAGTACTGTTTTTGAATCAGTTTTGGTATCCCATTTTTTGCTGCGACTACTACTACTAACCGGGTCCAGTGTTTTTTCCGGCGTGCTTACTTGATTTAAGTGATAAAACACTAATCTGTTTTGTTTTGAGTGCTTTTTATAGATATCAGATGATAGCATGAGATATTGTAGCCAAAATCCATAATTCTGCCAACTGGGATTTTCCAAATTTTCGTGTATTTGTACTTAAGTGATATTTATTACACAATTATTATTCTTATCATGTATCAAAACTTTTCACTAGGTGTTCACTTCTTTTCACTCCGTTCTTTCCCTCTAAATAAATATTCTTAAGATTACGAAGTTTGTAATTAAAACAATAACTTGTGTTACACTTAAATTAAATTCTCAGACCCGTTTTATCTTCACTATGCATATATGGCTCATACATATTGATATTTTATTATCCTTTTCATTTAATTGTAACTTTCATAGCATCACTCTGAACTATAACTGCACAAACATTTATTCTAGCGTCATATCTTACTGCAATTATAAGTTATTTTTTCTTAATTATTTTTTGTTACTAATTTAACGATACACACAGTCGTTTATTCTTGTTTTGTGTTCGTAAACACGCCTATTAGAATATTTGCGTATTTCACGTCTCCTTTATTTCTATTCCCTTATTTTCTGCATTTCCTTCTTTAGACTCAATTCAATATTGTCAATTACACAGACTCGATTTATTATTATTAATATTCTACTATTATTGCTCTTTTTTTTTCTTTTTTTAAATGGCAAGTAGAATGCTGACATTATTGAAAATTGTGTATTATTGCATTTTTTTGAAGAAACCCAAAATGGTTTCTTCACAGCACTTATGTACCCATAAGATGTTTGTGAATAATAATAATAGTAATAATAATGAAGTTACTGAGAGCTATAAATGAAAATTCTCCTGTTTTATTCTCCACTAGTTTTCCGTCAATGAGTCAAACAAATAGTAAATGTCCATTTGCCGATTCCAGTGGTATACATAGAACGATTATGAGACCCAGGCATCTGACAACCTGGAGCCAAGTCAGAGATTCTGTCAATCTTTTGCGGAATGTTTGTTACTAAAAGAATATCACCATTAGATCTCTTGAACTTATTACGTCGTACACGAAAGTTAGTTGAACTACTAAAAGCCAACAATCCGCTCTCAGTATGCTGTGTATGTCTGTTGTTTCCACCATAGAAGGAAGCCAAGAGTCCTGGTCAAAGAGTGAATGGGTAAACAACTGTTATTACGCCCGTTTCTTGATAGACAAAAGTCTATCCGTCGACAAGTCACGTTTTGTTTTCGGTATGATATCAAAGGGCTTTTTAATAGCTTCACAAAATATAATTTACAATCATACTTGCGATAAAAGGTATTTGACAAGTGATGCGCGATTCATGAGTTGAAGCAATGATAAGTTGCAAGTTGTTGTACCGGTGATAACAAAGGTGAGTGATAATGAGCAGATTGTCACAGTTGTCGAAACTTAACTACTTTCAACGTAGTCCTTATTCTTGGGGTCTGTCTGTAGTGAAGTAAATAAGCACTTTAATTAAACTAATGTGTAACACCCTAGAGACTTGAGCTGTTCTCCTGTTGGATAAAGTTCTTGCACCTTCAGCGGTTAATGTGTCCTGAAACACTGTCAATTTTGATAATATTCAATGTAACACTACAACTATTTCTTACATAATAAATCCAGTTCTTCTTTCAAACATTTGAGTCTTCCTGAGTGCACTTGTCAAACGAATATCTCTATTCTACATTTCAGGTAACCAGTAAATACAAGTCGTGAAATGTTTATCTGCTGTATACTACCACCTCACTTCAAATTTTTGTCTATTATGTTTTACTTTTGAAAAATAAAAGCATTATATTACATTTGGTAAATACATACTTATTTGCTGTGAAGACAGTGACAGAGGTTGTGATATGTTTAAGTGAACTGTCGTCATATGTTCACTAGGAAGCTGAGAGAGCATGTAAACCGACGAATTGTACCAAATAGGGTGCTTTTGTGTTACTAGTGTTCCATCAGATGTATTCGAGGCATTAATTGCACATAATAGGACATTTGAGTCAACAGCTGTAGATTAGAAACAGAGATGGTAAGGTCATGTATCACGTATATCCATTCGCCGAATACCGTGACGCGTTATGATGTCTAATATATCTTGTAAGTAGGCTAGGGATGCACTGTCACAGCAGAATAGAATATCAATAATTTCACTGTGTTTTGTTTGTATTTGCTTCACTCATCTTCTGAACTTGTTTGTCTATGTCTTTGACCTCGGACATTTCGGTTTCACTTTGTTTTCGGTTCGATATTTGGAAGCTTTTATTCTGGGAACCTAAAAACTGAAAGATTGTTTTATAAATGTCATAGTTATTTGGGTTCATCGATTGTAATTTGCAAAGAAACATTGGTGACTGGATCGTAGTCTGGTTTCACTTCTATTTGCGATTGGAAGATATAGGTTAATCTATCTATAGTGCTTCAATAACGAAAGAGAGCAGAAACTAGAAAGTAACACGCACCGATCGATTTCGTTTGATAGTGTGTACACTAACCGGGTCTGTAGGTTCTTTACAAAATGAATATATATATATATACTGTATTGCACTTAAATGGCACTTATTATGTGTAAAATAGATGCCAATAAGCTCTTATTTCATGGATTTATTACGACGGTTAGATTAAACACGTATACTAAACTGATGATGTGTCCTAATTATTTGAACAGACATGTTGCTTAAAACAACTCACCATAAATAATTTATCCTATAAAGTCCAAACGAACTATAAGCTAATGAGACTTACCTAAAATGACAGATGATAATTTTTCAAGACTGATAATTATAGTTATTTGTGCGTCAAGACATGGTTTGGAGCACAGATGCGAGAAGCAAACCTAATATCATACCTTTCTCCGTTATTCACAGATGGTTTACTTAGAAATAATGTAGGATTTAGTTCGTCTTATAGATGTCCTACTGGAATTTTAAACACGATACTGATGGCCCAGAGTCTATATAAAACCAATGATCAGAACAATGAAAACTTAGCTTTGAACTTTATGTGTTACATGCTGTGTTGTATCGGAGAATCTTGCTTTTCCCTTTGTATATATCGGAACCTACTGCTGTTGAGGCTCCCGCTACAATGGCCACCTTCTCCTGCATCTGTTGTTGCGTGTGCGATAGAACAGCCAGATCATCTGCAAAGTCTAGGCCATCCAGCTGCATCCCAGCTGTATCCTATGCTGACGTCTTCATGATTTAGTCGATAACCATTAGAAAGAG